CTTTTTTTTTTAATTATAGATTTTTTTAAGAAGTGGGTATTATAATTATAATACTATTATTCAAAATTATAGTATTTTAACGTACTATAATACTTTGTTATAGTACATAGTACACAGACATAAAATTATAGTAGAAATACTATAAGTCCAAGATACATACACATTAGCTGGCCATACACAGACGTTATTTCGCGCGGTTTATCGTGGCGTGTTGGGATGTAGCGGTTAGTATGCATGAAAGAACGGCATGGCAAAAAAGCGTCATGTTCCATACACTTGATAAAGTATTAGCTGGCCATACACAGACGTTATTTCGCGCGGTTTATCGTGGCGTGTTGGCATGTAGCGGTTTGCATGCACGAAAGAACGGCGTGGCAAAAAAAGCGTCATGTTCCATACACTTGATAAAGTATTCAAATGATTTAGCAAGTGATTTCCCGTGGTATATCAGTTTCAAAGGAAAAATCGTATGTGAGTGGGCAAAAAGTGTCATTTATCGAGTCGTTTGAAACTGCATGTGATCATGTACAAATTTTCAACGTGAAATTTTGCCAAGCAAAGGTAAACCGTGACGCGGAATGTGGCGTGTGGACGCGCCACACTCCAGAGAAAAGCACGTCTGAAATCCCTTCCCGTTCTATCATTGCGCGCGGCGACACTCACTCACGTACATGATTTTCCATATGTTTTTGCAGATAACACGATAAACCGCGCGCAATAACGTCTGTGTATGGCCGGCTATTCAAATGATTTAGCAAGTGATTGCGCGTGGTATATAAGTTTCAAAGGAAAAATCGTATGTGAGTGGGCAAAAAGTGTCATTTATCGAGTCGTTTGAAACTGCATGTGATCATGTACAAATTTTCAACGTGAAATTTCGCCAAGCGAAGGTAAACCGTGACGCGGATTGTGGCGTGTGGCTCCAGAGGAAAGCACGTCTGAAATACCTTCCCGTTCTATCATTGCGCGAGGCGATACTCACTCACGTACATGATTTTCCATATATTTTTGCAGATAACACGATAAACCGCGCGCAATAACGTCTGTGTATGGCCAGCTATTAAGATAGGATGGTGCGCATGTTGGGCGGGGCTTAAATACGACACTTGATGAGTGTTTTTAAATCTTTAACGTGCTTATTATCTGCTGCTAAAATTCTTGTTTTTGCGATGCTTTTGGATGTTAACTTGCTCTATTTTTTGTTTAACTTGTTGTTTTTGTGTTCGGTAAGGTTCGAATTTCTTTTCAGTGTTCAAATTATTGTTATTGCGTTGTGTTAACCTGTTCTGTTTGTTTATTATTGTTTTTGTTTTGCGTTAACTTGTTTTGTTTGTGTTTTAAATTGTGTAGTGCCATTTGCATTTATTAAAATGCGGTGTGGCATATTTGGATGCAATTCGGACAACCAGTCCAAGAAAAAACCTTAAAAAAAACATTAAATTTCATCGATTCCCGAAAAAGTTTGATTTTTGGAAACAGTGCCACAAAAATAATAGACAATATTAACGTTTAGACTAGGGATGCACCGGATCGGGTATTTTGCCGATCCGGCCGGAACCGGAATTTCGGCCGCTGGCCGGACCGGATCGCCGGAATTCCGGCCGGATCGGGACCAAAATTTAAAATGTATGTGCATGCGTATTTTTATACTTAAAATATTGAGGCTGATTTATTTTTACTTTTTTTAAACTAGCTACAGTATGCAGAGTGTTTATTACTATTAATTTTACCTAGATAGAAATTACTGTTTATTTAAATATTAATTTTTAATTAGCGTTAACAAAATTAAAACAATTCTACTCATTCAATTGGAGAATAGCAGCCACCTGCCAATAATAAAAAAATAAAAAGAAGTCGGGGAACCACAGCCGCCGGTCTATCATAGGCAAGGAAACACGCACACCCTTCTCTGTTGACCAATTACAAAATATATCTGGTCGAAAGTCGGGGCATCCCAGACGCGAAAGTCGGGGAATCACAGACGCGAAAGTCGGGAAATCCCAGACGCCTGCTAATCATAAGCAAAGGCACAGGGCTGCACACAGACCGATGCCTATTCCGTATCATTGAAACAAGTGAAGCCGCTTTCGCGGAGTGCGGGGAATGGTATGCGCAAGGCGTGGCTATGTTTTCACCATAGTTGTCTTCAGTTTATTTACGATTTATGTCTCGTAGAAGAGTTTAATTTATAATATTTTTATATTATATAGGTGATATTTATACATTATTAATATTAAAAATTTAAAACCTAAACATTTCCAAAAAGTTCCGAAAATTCCGGCCGGAAAGCGATCCGGCCGGAGCGATCCGGCCGGAACGGTAGTTCCGGCCAACTGGCCGGATCGGCCGGATTTAGTGGTACCGCCGGAATTCCGGTGCATCCCTAGTTTAGACCGCTTCTGTTTCCTATAAACATTTTCTGGACAGTGACTATAAGTTTAATTTAAAACACCAACGCTTAAACCTTAGCCCTAAATGTTATCAAGGACTGAAAACATATATTATCCATATTATAACACTTTCTTTCATATTAATACTACGTACTATGTCCAGATATTTCTCTATTTTCTTTGATAATATTACTATTATTCGTGTATTCTCACGACATCTAGTATTTCTGAAACTGTTGATTTTCGATGTTTTTTTTTATTGATTCTCAATTTATTAAAGGTTCCTTTTGGACCACCCTGTATATAAATGGAGCCTAAAATTTTAATCGGGAAAATTCATAAGTCAATAGAACTCGCAAAAATAAGATGACAATTTAATATGAACTTCTATTTTTTAAGGCCTCGTTTTCGAAATACAGGGTGGTAAATTTTTTTTTAAATATTTATTTTTTCAAAAATTTTAAAAACTTTTGGGCCGAGTTTAATAAAAATTTTCAGGTTTTTAGCCATTGAATTGAATTTAAATAAAATTAAGGAAACCCAACTGGATATTAAAAAATAAAATTTTGGTAGGTGCGCTACTGATTTTTTAAAAGTTTAATCATAGAAGCCACAAAACCATAAATCCGCGGAATTTTTATGATAAAACAGTAGCGTTTTTGGTTGTAACTTTTTTGTTAATATAAAAAACAAAGAAGTTACATTTTTCTTCCTATTTTTGTAAGTTCGATTACAAAATTTTCTCGAATAAAATCTGAGAGACACCCTATAAACATGTATACAGGTACAATTTATTATTATATTATTGTCGTGCCGCCAATTTTAAATTAAGCGGCACGGCAGTGATGACGTTTTTTATCTATTACGTCACTGGCGTGGCCGTAAAAAATAAATTGCAGGCACTCTAACGTGCACCTAAATTTTTTAAAATAATCTTCAATAAGCATACACCATCTATCAAATATTTAATTTACTTTCGAATTACCATGCGAATTTGTCCCAACATTTTTTAATTTTAAACTACTCTTTTTAATTTTGAACCAATGCACAGTGTGTTAAATTGATTATCTAGCTAGACAAAACCTAAATGACATAAAAAATTATAAATTTTCTTTGGAAGCGGGGTATTTGGGTTCACTGAATCCAAATCTGACATCCAAAATGCAGAAATTAAATTCGTTAATTACAAAATGGCCGGCGCCTTGTGATAAAAAATAAACTTTCGGCTTCGTCGAAAATTGGTCAACTTTCGTTTTTCCAAAAAAACGCCCTGTATATTTTTGTATATTTGAAATCTGGAGAAAATTTTGAATCCGATAAATGCACATTCGCTACCATTTTGCAATTGACCTTATAACCAGTTTTAGTTTTCAATCCAGAAAGCTGCAATTTGGAGAATCAATTAGTTTTACCATCCAAATTTGCAGTAAAATGCATAAATAGTAAATGTTGCTGATAAATTGTTTTTTTAATTAACTCAACTTTTTAAATACCATCAGAGTGGCTGCTAATGTTTTTTTAAATACATATGTTTTCCCCAATCAAAACCAACCAATGTCATAAAAATTCGGTTAGTGTTTTCCACGAAAATTACACTTATGGAAAACTTAAATTACAAAAAAAATTAAGATCATTATAAAATTCCCCTGAAAGTGTAAGTATCGAATTCAAAATTTTCTCCTGATTTGAAATATGCAAAGATATGCATAGGGTTTCATTGAAAAAACAAAAGTTGGCATTATTTCCGGGGAAACCGGAAGTTTTGTGGTATCCATTGAAAGTTGAAATAATTATAAATTAACTCTTTATTATTGCTCCCAAATTTCAACTCTATTTTAAAATTTAATAGTAAAAAAGGAGTGAGCCGGTTTTTGGTTTCACCCTGTAGAAGAGGCAAATTGGGGCAAGAAATAAAGGCACATAAGTAATCTTTAGACGTTATAAAACAAAACAAATATTGATAGTGCACCCGATATTGCTCGATTACAATACTTCTTGCTTAATAAATATTGTCCATATTTAACAACACCAAGTGAATTTCTATATATATAGCCTGTTGCTGATTACTGATATTATAAATCCCTAATTATAAAAAATAAGTAATATATACCTAGATTCATAGCGGCAAAGTTCAAAATTTGATTTAAATTGAAACAATGTCAAAATCACTCCACCTTTCTGCAACACATACACGGCTAAGTATATTTATAAAAAATGATACGCCCGGAACTGACGCCTGCATAGTGCTGAATACACTGTTGCAGTACGTTCTAATTAATGGAAATCATAACAGGGAGAACTGAAGAAGCTTATTTAATTAAATTTGTCTTAATTTCAGGTTGTTTTAAAATTAGGTTTTGTCTAGCTAGATAATTAATTTAACACACTGTGCAATGTGCGAATTTATCCTAGGTAGGTACCATTTTTTTAATTTGAACTACTGCGCGAATTTGTCCATATCAAAAAATAACTAGTAAAAAACTTTTTATTAAATCCCATTTTAATGGAGCCAAGAGTTCAAATTAAATTTGCCAATACCATTTATAAGTATTATCAAGCATAGAAAATACTTAACCAATGTAATTAATTCATAATAAAATTTGTACTTACATATTGTCCAACAGCTGTCAAGAGGTTTTGATAGGCAGCTTCCAGTTCCTCATATGGCTGAGCCAGAGCCCTTTTTCCCAGCTCCAGCACATTGTTTGCACCCTGGAAGTCTTGAGCTGCTTCATGGTAGTATGCCCAGGCTCTGTATAGATCAGCACACCCCCGACACAAGTTTTGTGCATGCATCATATGGTAAAGCTCTAGTGGATTTTGTTGCAAGTCAATCTGTTAAAAAAGTATCTCATCAAGAAATATAAATAATACAATTATTTTATTTTTAAATTAACTACTGATTTGCACTTGCTTTCATCAGTGGCGCCATCTACAAAACTACAAAAAAAAGCCGCTCAAAAAAAAACATAAAATGTTGGGGAAAGCTTTAATTCTAATAAAAAATTTTAAGATTTTACTTTTATATTGGCAAATTGGTAATTTAGGAAAAATTAGGTTTTGAAAAAAAATACTATTGATTACAATGATTACATTTTAACACATACTTGTCAATGGTATATTATGAAAAAATGGAATGAAACATCAGTGTTATGAACAAAATTCGACTAAGTGGATAATTTTAGTTATAGAAGTTCGATTTAGGGAAGTTTCACTGTATGTTTAATTTATTATTATTTAAAGCTAAATAATAATTTAATTAAAAATACAAATATATAAATTTTTATTAAATTACTGTTTTGTACATTTTCTCAATTTTTCCAAAAATTTAAAATTCCCTGACCTTTTCCCGAAGAGTGTATAATTTTTTAGGTTCATTTTTGAGGCATTTTATTTTTTAAAACATTGTATAATAAATTGTACCATTGTAACTAAATAAGTATTAAGTTACCTACATACAATTTTGATGAGTAATAGAAAAGCAATTTTGCCTGCTTACATAAAGGAAATATTTTTTTATTTGATAATTTATTTATTGCAGTTTAACAAAATAGTTTTATAACTGGTACCATCAAAACCATATTAATTGTAGTACTTCTTAATCGTCCATTCCAATAATAGGGATGTATTTATTAACTCAACCATTTGAACCAAGTAAAGTTAAATAAAACTCATAACAGCAGGAATATGCATTTTTGCATAGCCTTTCCAAAGTTTGTATGGCAATATGAATATTCATGTTTTAAAGGGCATAACAAAATCAATGAACCAATAGAGTATGTAAGCTAATAATTGTTCACTCACATATTTGATCCATAGTTTACAAAACCGCCTATCATCAGAGTATCTAACATCATTCTCAAATTTTGCTAAACAATGTTCTAACAGTGCAACTAAATTTCCTTCGTGCCCATGTTTTGGATAGCTTTGTTCTACCCAGGAAATGTAGTGGTAATAATTATCTAAGGGATCCTCTCCGTTGTAATTCCGTATAGCGCTCTCAAATTCTCTAAAACACCAAAATACTCACTTTAAGCACCATAACCTAAACAATGCATTAAAAAAATAATTACTCTTTTTGTTTTTCTAGCTCAAGCTGTAGTTCAGGATTGGTTTGAGCCTGCAGTGCTATACCGAGCTGTGTAGGATTACGTCCCCCCCGAAGGGGCTGTATATTTTCTTTACTCAGATCAAAATCCATCACTTGACGTTTCCTTCAGCTGTCAAAAGTACAACAAAAACGACTTTATTTGAATGGAAAATAGAGGTGGCAAGTTTGATTCCGATTCGTTCAAAAAGAACGAATCATTTAAATGAACCGAATGAATCGAACAAAGTTTGTAAAAGAATCAATTATTTTTTGAATCATTTTTTTTAAATCACGACTAGTGAACTAAAAAGTGAATCAAACCTTAAAATAAATATAAACTTGGTTACAAGCACTGAATTAAATGCTAGGTTCGGATCACTAGGCTAAAATGTCGGTCTTTTTGAATAACTAGTGATATTTCTAGGGATATTTCAGGTAATTTTTTGTCAAATATCAAAATACTCTTTTGATTCAAAAGTTTCCAATACAACCTAGGTACTTGTATTTTGTTTTTTTTATGTAAGCTGTGCTGTTGTTGCACCGGAAAAGCCATAGGTTAATTTACACGTAAGCAAAATAAAAATCGAATCCAATAATTTAATAATACAACCGTTGATTCATTTAACGATACAACCAATACAAGTCATTATTACAAACGATTCAAGAACCAAGTCATTAATTCGGTCGAACCTGAATTGTTCGTTATTTGTTCCTGAACCAGAAAGTGAATCAGTCGCGAACGAATCTTTATGAACGAATCATTTTAAAAGAATGAATTAAAAGAATTGATTCACCAAAAAGAATCGAACTTCCCACCTCTAATGGAAAAGCCGCTGGCGCACTGTTCCCAACTATGCGGAAAAAAAGTACCCCAGTTTTTATTAAAATGTTAATAACAAATTATTTCATTATTTAATTTCAATAAGATGCAATATTTTTTACTTTTTTAAGGTAATTTTAAAATATTTAAAACTGAATTTCATTTTATATTTAAAAATATTTAACACTTAAGTGTTGCCAAATTTGCGAAATTAAAATGTTATGACAATTGTTTTATCCCCCTATCCTATAAAGCTTATGTTCTGTGCTATAAAGCACAGAACATAAGCTATAAAGGATATTTTTTTCACTTATTATCCACCTAGACTTATTATCTTATTATCACTTATTATCTACCTAGATTTAGTGAATTTTAAAAGTTCAGGAGGAGTTTTAGGGACGAAGTTCTTAGAAGGATTCATCATTGGTAAAAAAATTCTAGGGGAAAATCGAGCTCAATCTTGATCATTTGGGGGGGAAGCGCTCTGACAATCCGGCAACACTTTGCAATGCAAGTTATGACAAAATTTGTTGATTTTGCGTTGACAATGTCAACTTGACATTCTTGGAATGAAATTCCCTAGATCATGGATACCATGCAAAGTTTGCATGGTATCCATGATCTAGGGAATTTCATTCCAAGAATGTCAAGTTGACATTGTCAACGCAAAATCAACAAATTTTGTCATAACTTGCTACACTTATGATGTGTTGTTAAATGACCTTGTTTTCCTATTTTTTTTCCATGATGACCTCGGTTTTAATTGTTTTAAGATATAAATTCTAATCTTGTGATTATTTCATTACTGTTAATGTTTAAAGCCTGCGAAAATGGAAGCCCGAGTTCTTTCCGTGCAAAGCCATGTTGTCCATGGATATGTAGGAAATAAAAGTGTGGTATTTCCTCTACAAGTAAGTTTGTTTTAATTTTAACTATTGATTGGGCAAATAAGTATGCATTTTCAGTTGTTGGGCTTTGATGTTGATGCAATAAATTCAGTACAATTATCTAATCACACTGGTTACAAGAAATTTGGGGGGCAAGTATTAACAGATAAGGATTTATTACAACTTATTAATCCCCTTATTGAAAATGGGCTCGATTCATTATACTCTCACATTCTAAGTGGCTATATCGGTTCTGCCTCATTCCTATATGAAGTGACTAAACTAGTCAAACATTTAAAAACCAAAAATCCAGACATAGTTTATGGTAAAGTAATACAAAATTTGTCATGATATTTTTTATTTAACCACTAATGTTACAGTGTGTGACCCTGTAATGGGTGACAATGGCAAAATGTATGTTCCTCCTGAGTTAGTGACAATATATAAAGAATTTGTTGTGCCATTGGCTACAATAATCACCCCTAACTTATTTGAAGCCGAATTGCTTTCAGAGATAAAAATAAACGAGGAGAAAGATGTCTGGGAAGCGGTTGATATTTTACATTCCAAAGGATGCCCAATCGTAGTTATTTCTTCTGCTGAATTGGGTGACCGTGATCATTTACAAATCTTTGCTAGTCAAAAAGGTGATTATCCTGTAACAAATTTATTAGTTTTGTTTACCCAACCTCATCTATTTCATACCTTTGCTGCTTTTAGTTTCATTTCTCACCACCATTCCCTCACTTGTCTAGAACCAGTTCAATCTGAAACAATTGAAATTTTAGGTGATAGTCCAAAAAGGGTGCAAATGCAAATTCCAAAAGTCCCTGCTCATTTTACAGGCACCGGGGATTTGTTTGCAGGCCTGTTTTTGGCCTGGATGCATAAAACCCAGGATATGAAAGAGTCAATCGAAAAAACAATAGCTTCTTTACAGGCTGTTTTAAAGAGAACATTTGAGCATGGTATAATCATCTTAATTTGCACATTTCTTATTTTTAAGGTCAAAATTAGTTTCAGGTAAAGAAATAAACGTTAAAAATCTAGAATTAAGGCTTATACAAAGTAAAAAAGATATTGAGGAGCCTCAAGTTGTTTATGAAGCTGTCCCAGTAGCTTAAGTGAAACCAAAAACTAATACTGTCTTCCAGTCATATACACATGTTGTTAGAGTAATTTATTTGTCTGTTATGTGAGTACTTATCTATATATACTATATAATATACTTGGTGTTATAACTAGTGACAATAATATAAATATAAATAAACGCAAACGCAATGAAACAAACGTGTTTTTGTTTAACTTTATTAGATTAAATTACAGTTTTAACTAAGTATTACAAAAATATTTATTATATAAGAATAAATTAAAAATTATGCAATAAAATTGAACTACAATTAATAATGGACAAACTTACATTTAGTTTGAACTTAAAAGATAAAAAAACTAAATATTTGTACAATTTTTTTTTATATATTTTTTTACATTATACTTCTATAGCATATTAAAAATACATAAGACAACCCGTCAGTTTTTAATAATCCCTTATAAATATGCAGCAATAAAAAATAAACATTCTTGTATATTTCTTTATATGGTATGTTTATACAGTCCCTGGCCAATTTATTAGACTCACAATTTTTTTTTAATTATGGGCATTTTTGATTTACAAAAGAATTTCACAAAATTTGATTTTTAAGAGGTTTTATAATTTTCCTACCCTTACTTTTTCAATTTAAATTTTATCGCAAAAATATGTTTTAAAAAGCGATTCATAAAATAACTTTTCCACAATACTATTTCTAAAATATGTAATAATAATAAATGAGAAATATATTGACCAGGGATTGTAGTTAATCTTAAAATTAATTTAAACAAGAAAAAGCATTTTAATTAATCAATTTTACTATAACATGGAAAAAAATTGTCAATAAAATATCACAAGTCAATTAAATAAAAAGCAATATTATGTATTTACAATTCTTACTTTTTTGTACTAGTGACATGCTGGATCAAAAAATCTGCACATTTGAATAATAATTACTTTCGGCATCCAAAAAAAAGCGCAATTACGATATGACACACTGTATAAAAAAATACGAATAAAATTTTGAGAAAAATGACAACAGTCATTTTCTTTGTTCGGAATTAGACAACTTCAAACATTTGGGGGATTAGTTGGCAAATTCTAGAGACCCTAAATTTATAGTTTGCTACATTGAGTGGAACAAACTAGTTTAGTGGAGAATATACTATCGCTAACAAAAAAAACTCATACAGCTATATTGTGGCTGTGTGAATAAAACTTTTCCGTCAATGTCAAGCTGACATCGAGCTTTGTCACATTCATTATGACTTTTTTAACAACATTTTCAACCAAACAATGCAGACGAACTCTGGCAAGGCATTGAAGCCATTTGGAACGAGATAAAGCAAGACGGTGACTTCCATGCTTTGCCGTTTGCGGGCAGTAATTGACAAAAACAGAGGGATGACGAAATATTATATTTTTTTTCAAACTTCAACCTAACTTTGTATTTAATTTTAGACCTTTCAAATGTGACGTATCGTGTTAAAAGCCATAATTACTCCAACGAAATGATAGAAAATCAGGAACACTAGATTTTTAAGCTGTATGAGTTTTTTTTGTTAGCGATAGTAATTGTGGTTATGTTATAATTATAAGAATATGTTTATAAATTTTGAAATGTCAAATTTTAAAAAATACAATAACTTTACCTTAGAGGAAATATTGGTGAGTTTAGGGCCTAAAACAGGCAAATTTGAATTTCCAGTCAGAAATTATTATAATTCTGACAGTTAAATGACAAATGTTAAAGTTTTAAAAATTAAGGGCTTGAACAGGAGTACCAATTTTAAATATAAAAAAACAATATTAATCAAACGTGGTAAATTCTGAATAAAAAAACGACTTTATGTTTCACATCAATTGATGTGATGATAAGTCCCACTTTGACAAAGCTGTCAAGTAATTGAAAGCTTTGTCAAAGTGTCGGTTTTTCACTATTTAAAATAATACAATATAAGTATGCATTTTTTGTGTGTATAGGTCTTAATTTAAAATCAAAAATACAAATATTGCGATATTTTCAGAAAATAAGACGATATTAGCGTTAAATTGACAGATACATAACCTCAATTATTTGGCTGCGTTCAAATGTCAAAGTGGGACTTTTTGATGTGAAAAAAGACGAAATTCGGCCAAATATTTCTCTAACCGTAGAAAAACCGGATATTGATTTTAACTGCGGATATCCGGGGATAAGGATACCAGTATCCAGCACACCACTATGTACCTAAATCATTATTTTTTTAATTTAGTTTTGTTTTTTTACCACTTGTTACATATTCACTTCAAAAAACTTTATTTAACCCTTTTTTATCATTATTAATATTATTAAAATTACCCATATTAAAACCTGATCATTGTAAAACTTATGTAAACTATCTACACTGCAGTTATTATTAAAAAAACAAACCAATAATACTGTGTTAACTAGTTCTTGTAAATAAATGAGTTTATTTAGGTAGCAAAACCTTAAAACCCTAAAATAAAATAACATGATACAAAAATAAATAAATTAAATATGATAAAAATTCAGTTAACACTACTTAAAAAATAACGGTAAACTTGAAACGGATAGTTATGCAATAAAATATCGATGAAAATTGTATGCACATAAACATAAGTGAAAGAAGCTTTTGTTTTTCATGTAAAAATAGACTCTTTCGACTAAATTAATTCGCTTAATTAACTATGACATGCTTACCACAGCTCTAGTCAATTAAGACCGAAAACTGGACCGCCTCGGGGCGGCCGTATCGATTCTCTTAAGGAATACTCGGACTGTCGGTGCCGCTGCTGTTGTTCGAGTTTTCCGCCGCTTGCGTCGCCTGCACGCGATTGTTTTTCTTGGCCGACTTGGACAGGCTCGCCACCTCCTTCAGCAGGCCCTGGATGCGCTTGTTGAGCATGTCCACCTTGTCCTCGTGCTCTTTGTGGCACGACTTGATCTTGTTTCTCAGCTCGTTTTCGGTCGTAAAGTTGTTGGCTTTCAGTTCGGTGATCTGGAACGTGTCGCGAAACGTTTAGTTCAATGAGTCGCCGCCACAGTACCGTTTTTTTATCAATGTACAAGTTTTTGAGCAGACAATTGCAAATTTAGGGGTTTGGTTGGTTGCATTGATTAAAACAAACTAAACTAGTTGTAAATGTAATTGTGGTTATGTTTAAATTATTGTGGGTGACATTGAACGGTTGTCAAGTTGAGTTGTAAAAATTCGTAGTTAAAAATGCAATTAATTTGGCTTTGTTGGTGCGTAGATGAGTAAAATCATATAAAAAGTAGTTAAATTTAGGTGACTACGGCCCAGGAGAGACAAAGTATTCCTAGCGGATAATAATCTTCGCTTTGAAAATAATTTATATAAAACAAATTAAAATTTTATGTGAACACACGTAAATATTGTCCAATCATTGGACTCCAATGGGGAATGGGTATTTTGTTAAAGCCACTGGACGTTAATACTTGTAGTGGCTTAATAATAATTTTTATGTATATAATATGTCCAGGACTATTAATGATCAGTAACTTGCAATTTGAAAGAAGAAAAAGTTTTGTGATTATTGCTTATCTTTTTCAAACCAAATGGATGCTATTTTCAAACACAGGAAAATTACCAACTAGATTTTTCACAAAAAGGTTGAACCTAACAGCAAATAATTTAATTTTTTGTTTTTTATTTCACCCTTTTTTTAGCTCTGCTTAGCTAAAAACAATGTGCGATTTAATATTTGTAAAACCAAAAACGTTACTTTTTTACTCCAAAAATGTCCATAAGGCGATGTACTTTTTCTGCCATTGAGGCATTTGGCATAACTTCATTGAAATGGAGTTCTTTTACTTTAGAATATGATATTATTTTTGGCATAGTTGGCATCTTTTTATATTTATATATATATTATAATATATAATTAACAAGTAAATTATCAATAATAAATATTACTGTCAATTTGACAGTGTCAGAGTATTTAATTAAGGTCTTCAGCAGAAGTACCATTATAAATACCAAAAATACTAAATCAAACTGGCATAAGCTACCAACTTAAAAAACAAGAGACTGAATAAAACAAAAATGAACTGTATTCGATAAGTAGTTTTTGATTTATTATTTCAGTTCCAAAGTGTGTATTTCCTAAACCAAAACCCAAGAAGACTAAATAAAGGAGGCAGCGCCGGATTTAGGGGGGGTCTTTGGGGGTCTATAGACCCGGGGCGCAAGCTTACAGGGGGCGCAAAATTTTTGACTGGTAATTTTTGTTTTTTACTACAACCTAAAGGGTTTTCCCCTTTTTTTTATTTTTCGTGTATTAATCAGTTTTAATAAAAAATTATTTAAAATATAACTGTGATTGTTGCCATAGTATTATTATCTATGCATAGTATACGAAATATGTCATGTCACGTATTACGTAGGGCGCCCGACAAGTTTTTGGGCGACAAGAACTTTAGTTTGCAGAAATTGATTATTTCCACCGATGCGATGCGTATGGGCGTAAAGGTTTTTTAATATAAGAATATTTTATTTCACTACGAACAACTATTAATTTAAATTAGTTTAAAACTATAGTTATATACAGTACCAGTCATATATGTATGTATATATACAGTATAGGTATTAGCCTATTGAAAGATGACGTCAATATTGCGATAAACAAATTTGCTTCTCTAAAAGCACGCAAAGTTGAGTTGGCAAAATGTTAATTTTCTTATTTAGGTATTTGTTTTTTATATAGTTTTTGTTTATGTTTTTAGGGTGGCAATATTTTTTCGACTTTTTTTTTTATTTCGGAGCTCCCATGAAACAATTTAAGTTTAAAGTATTCAAGTTTCAACTCAAAATAGTTATTTACGATATAAGTGGGATAAGAGCTTTATTAACGTACGCATGCGAAATTTGCCCAACGAGTGCGTAGCACGAGTTGGGCAATCGCAAAAGTACGTTAATAAAGCGTTATCACACGTATATTGTACAAATTTTTATCTACGCTTCTAAATGGAAAAATAAACGGTAATTATTTTTGTCTAAGACTTAATTTAGGGTTATTTTGACATTTTGACTTTTTATTTGATTGGTTAAAAGCAGAGAAAAACGCGTGCGTTAATGAACTTCTTATATCACTCAAAATGAGTGGGATAAGAAGTTCTTATCTCACTGGCGTAGATAAAAAAATAAACGTCGCTCAAAAAAATCAACTAAATTGGAAAAATAGTAGTGGTTACAAGATCAAAATTATTAAAAAAATCAAGAAATGTATTTCAAAAATATTGAGCGACCAATAATATTTTGACTTAAAATGTATTATGTTCCTATACGATCTACAAAAAAAATAGTGAGAAGCCAAAGATTTTGAGAAAAAAGGTTGGTTTAAAAAAGTTTTGAGCGACGTCTAAAATTTTTTTATCTGTTGAAACTCAAATACTTTAGACTTATTTTTTTTATTTGATCTCCAAAATCAAAAAAATTTCGAAAAAATACTACAACGTTAATGTTTATGGTTAAATAAAATACTTTTAAGAAGTGACATTTCTTTGAATTTATTATATAGGTAGGGGCGGAAAATTTTTATTAGACCCGGGGCGCAAATTTTTATAATCCGGCGCTGAAAGAAGGAGCAACTCTTCATTAGTTTCGGAGTTTTTGAAAAATAATTCTGCTATAATTATACTTGATACAATAGGTGCGTTCTTTTCACCTGAGATTTCAGTTAATCTCAGCTCACATCGGTAAAATTTGCAAATGTGCGCGTTCTTTTTGCTTCACTCACCATAAAGTGAGGTTTGAATTAAGTCGGAAATAAAGTGGAGGGGATAAAGAAATTATTGATTTGTTAAGTTTTTAAATAACATAACCTAATCTTATTTAGGTGATTTTTTGCAATAAAACTTAAATTTACATAAAAATAATTAAATTTTGTAAATTAGCTATAAACTTGATATATATCAATTATATAATAAATAGAATTCGAATAAAATTTGTTTTCAGAACGAGAATAGTTATTGAATAGTGTTGAAAAGCGACTTTTTCATGCGAGTTCTTAAGTTGCCCACGAGGCCGTTAGGCCGAGTGTGCATTAACACGAGCTTGAAGAAAGCTTTTCTCACAAGTATAACACAATGTTTTTTCTGCGACCCTTTTATTTTTTATTATTTTTAAATACAAAACAAAATAACCTAAAAACTTTTTTGACAGCTGAATAACAAACGATGCTTTCCGTTTCTTTTCACACAGACCTGTCACTTTTCACACAGAAATGTCACTTTACATTCGTGTTTTGCCTTGTCAATGAAAAGATTCATTTTCTAAGCAACGATGCCATCATGAAAAGTGACTTTTACATAGTGGTCGTAGAAAAAAACACTTTTTACAATAAAATTAAACAAAAGATGTCAAAGTGAAGTTTTTTTTAATTTTTATTTTATGCCATATCAGAAATAGGTTATGTTGCCTCTTATTCACGTATTCTCCGTCGGATTGCGCGTTTCAATTGAGTGTGTCGTTCTTTTTAATGCTTACTCACATCACTACATCTCATATCACATTAACTGAAGTGAGCTGAGATCTCAGGCGAAAAGAACGTACCTAATGTTGATTTTACTCGGCCGGTATAGAAGACCTTTTAATGTACCAACAATACCTGGTTGTAGGTTGAGTATAAGAAAATAGGTTAATTTTTAGGAAATATCCTCAATTTCGGTATAATTATTTAGAAGTCGGAAGATCTAGCGAAGTTTCGGTAGGGTTGGCAACACTGGACGTGCGTACGTACGCCCCCACCTGGCAAGTTATTTCTCATGTAGTTAGTCTTCTTGCTTCCACTTAAGGATTTAAATTAAATTGAATCTTCTAGTATCAAAACGCCTTAAATCCGTTTTGATAAAAATGAGATACAGGCATTAAAATATTCCTACCTATCAATGTGTGCCTAGAAATGGTTGCAAAAGCCATCAAATATTTATAAAAAAATGAATATATACATTTTGTAGCTTTTTCAACCATTTGAATTCACAAATTGATAGTTAGGATTTAAGGGGTTTTGATAATGGGGGATTCAATTGTCATTTTATCAAGGCAAAAAAATAAAAAATGGCGTAGGTACTTTATAAAATTAATGTTTTTGAAAAACTGAAACATTTTCCAGGAAAGGTCTTTTTAGTATGTTTTTTTCTAAAAAGCAAGTTTATAAACGAAAATTTTATATCAAAAACGAAACCTTAAATCTAAAAAAGTTATTGCACAAAAAGACCTTAAAATAGTCAATTATCTTCAATCCCTAGTCAGCAACATTTTTTTTTTTAATTTTTTTGTTGGGTAAAATTTGAATTAAGGAGGTTCAGGCAGTACATTGCTTAACGCATAAATAGCGATAGGTACCAACTTGCAAAAACAAAATTTACTTTGTCATTTTATTATATTTAAGTTTAAATATAAAGCCCGTTTCATATAGATGCGAATGCGAATTGCAAAATGCGAAAAATGCTCCCATTGGTCCATTTGATTTGGCGAGAAAAGCGTTTTGAGAGATCCCGCAAATCTTAAGGTCGGTTGGGTTGGTGGAAGGTTTGTTTACGTTTAAGCAAGGTACACATTAAAAAGCTCAAAGAGGAAACTGAATCAACTTTGAACCTTAACATTATCCCTAATAAGGCTTTGATTTGATAGAACAAGTATTTCAAATTTCCCGCCAAAAACATATATCCAAAATGTGGCCAATTCGGTATGGTTTGGGCGAATTAACCTCTAGTAATATTATATACCTACGCCATTTATGTTTATTTCGTTTGTATCGCAGTGTTTGTTGAGTTTTATTCGAACTGTTTAAATAACTGTTTGAAGTTTTTTTTTTATAATATAAGAGTTTGCGGTACATTTATGTTTGGGGCCGTTCAAGTATTACGTAAGCAGATTTACTACAGTTATTAACCCCCACCTCCCCCTTGTCAGCAAAAGTAATCAAAGCTCTTACCCCCCCCTCCAATGCTTACGTAAACATTGGTCTTTTTGTTTTCAAGCATAGACAATGTGTGGGTTGCCATATGTGTAAAAAAGTAAATAACTACTGCTGACGTAATCACCATCTAGACCCCCCACCCCCATGTCATCAAAAATAAGCAAAGCAAAGACCCCCCCACCCCCCTATAGTGCTTACGTAATACTTGAACGGCCCCTTTCTTATTTTACCTTTATAGTCACTTAAAGTAACTTTACTATTTTATTACCTAAAATAGCATGGAAAATATCGCCTAGTGGGAAAACAATGTCCCTAAAATAGTTCGCATCTATATGAAATAAGAGTTGGGAAATGCGAATATTCGTATTACGCAATTCGCATTTCGAATCTATATGAAAGCGACTTAACCATGGTTGCAGTGTTGCCACTATGTGCAAGTGCACCATAGAATTACCTTATTTGTCCACTAAAAATGTCCGTATTTGAGAAAAATAATAATAGCGAATAATTACCGCTTTGTCCTTGACGAGCAGCATCGAGTTCTTCTGCGACAGCTGCTTCTGCAGGCTGGCGATCTGCTCCTTGAGCTGCGTCATCGCGACCACGTGGTCGGAACTGTTCGGATCGAGGTCGACGCGCATCATGCCGGGGGCGGCGTTGTTCCTAGCCACCTTGTTGGCAGGCCCGTCCTCGGGCGGCGGCATCTTTGTCACGTCCGGTCGGTTCGGCCGCTTGTTGTGGCTTCGCATTCTGCACACAACACATTCGAGTTTCGGTCGGTAATTTTACTTTTACACAGTCACGTTCTCTATGATCGGTTACGAGAAAATACTGTGTTTATAAGAATAATGCAGATTTTTTTATTTTTACTATTTCATTTCATTGTTTTTTTAATTAGTATTTTTTAAGGTGCGCCAACACTACGTCGAATCATTTCGTCTGCCACAGTCATATCACATGACATGATTTGATTCCACATGGTGTAGACGCACCTTAAGGTAGTATCTCCGTTTGAAAGATTGATACAAGGAGTCCGAACTTCATGTATACAAAAATCTTTATAAGATAAAAGGGCACTGGTGTTCTGTTTATTAATAAACCAAAACAGTAGAAAAAGACTGTGCGATTAAGCGGGCAGATTTTGTCAATTTTCCCTATTAAGTTCTGGCTCCTTGTGTAGGCTCCATGGATTAATAAATAAATATATATATAACATCAAATTTAGCGGTGCCAATGTGTAAAAATAAAACGTTGTATTTTAATTAACAAAGTAAAGCCCGCTGTACAATAGCCCGGTAACGGGAACGGGAATCTTAACATTAAAGGTGGGAGAGACTAAAAACACTGTTGATAAATAGGGTTCGCTGAGTCTCTCCCACCTTTACCGTTTAGGTTCCCGTTCCCATTCCCGTTACCGGGCTGTTGTGCAGCGTGCTTAATACTTTTTTAAAAATTAAAGTATCATTAAAAACTAAAATCAACATAAATAAAGTAAATAAGTAACAATATAAATTGTTAATTTGTAGTTATAATAGCAAAATTAAGGTTAAAAACTGTCATGTTTGTGTTTCTTATGTTGGCAGCGGAAAATATGAAATGACAATTTTAAAAAGTGCTAAAAAATACGGTACTGGTGGACCACCAGTGGTGGTGTTCGATAGAATTGTTGACAATTCAAGAATTGTCAACAACTGTATTAATACATTTAAGCCTACAAACTGCACATCATTTTTAAATAAATAAGTAGTTTTTTTACAAAAGAGAGGAAGGTAGAAGTATAACTCGACAAATTTTGTTCAATTGCACAGCTAAATTGCTCACGTTATTTGTGTTTTGCGTTGCAAGTAAAAACTAAAAAAACTTTGTTTTAGTACCTACTCGATTTCGATTTATTATTACTTATATCATAGATTAAGAAACTCAACGCTTATACGCTTATATAGTTACGTTAGTGTGTGTATTTTATTTAAGTGATCATGGTGAATTATTGTGTTTTTAATTGTAAATAGATTCAAGAACTAAATCGTTGCATTTTCATGTTTTGCTAAAGGATCCAATTCGGTACGTATATTTGTTAGTGCAGAATTAACTAATGATAACTAAACCTAAAACAATTTATATTTAAGTTTGGACATTTTCAAGAAATCTAACAAAAAATAACTGTTGCACAAACATAACCTTAAAATCGTACAAAATAAATCTACGAATTCACAACATAATAGGTACATAATATAATACCGGTTCTTGCTATTATACCGTTGAGTGGAGACTTTCCTAATTAACGCTTTTATGAATGCATAATTCTGTTTGAATTTAGAAGACTTATTTGTTTTATGATTTTTACTGAATTGAAATGTTTACAATTTTCACATAAATCATTACTAAAATGTGTATTTATTGTATGTAATAGGTACAATTTATATTTACTACCTGTATGAAATTTATTTCGAATTTCCACTTTTTATTGGGAAACCGGTTAAAACTAAACCCATGATTTCCTCTCGAAAAACGCCCAACAACACAACAAATCGTGTCGGTTTTTTTCCCGATATTTTTAACATTTTCCGGATTTATTCTCAAAAATATTCGTTTGTAACATACGCGTTTGCCAGCTGCTTATTAAAAGCTGAATCACAAATTATAAAAGAGCTGAATTCTGGTTACGACGATAACGGCCACGTGGTGGCGCTACTAGCGATGCTTCTTTAGCGTTTAATGGCAAAATTCAGGTTCATATTTTTGTGTTTTATATGTTGGCAGCGAAAAATATGAAATGACAATTAAAAGTACTAAAAAATAGATTTCCATAGAAAATATACTGTAATAATCAATTTTTAAGCCATTAATATAATCCTCTTTGAAATAATCTATGTGCAGAACTGTTATAATTTTCCATGGATTATTTCAAAACACGAAAACCAAAATTTATTTTTTATGGAAATATTAGCGAGCTCTTGGGATACAAAATAAAAAATAGCGTATAATTATTTTCTTAGAATATAAAATTATATTTTATAATCTATAATATTAAATTTATTTTTTATGGAAATATTAGCGAGCTCTTGGGATACAAAATAAAAAATAGAGTATAATTATTTTCTTAGAATATAAAATTATATTTTATAATCTATAATATTAAATTATATGTGAATGTGTTTAATGCCTTCTAAAAACATATTAAATTTTGAAGACATTCTATAGAAACTTCAAATGGAGATACTACCTGAAGAGTGTATAAAATATGTATACATATATATATATATATATATATATATATATATATATATATATATATATATATATATATATATATATATATATATTTAAATGACAATCATAGAAATTGTATGAGGGTGAAACACAGTGGCGACCTAAACCCGTCGGGGGCCCGGGGCGGTAAAATAAAATGGGGCCCCTAGTCTGCTTATAAAATAATGAGATTGTTTTGTAAATATTAATGTTTTGTTATTTTAAATCTGTTTCTTAGCAAGTCCTTTGCAACACTTGTTATCAGGGATATGAAAATTGATTACAAGCTTTTTCCAGCAAACTTATAAGTATACTTATATTTGAACTTGTTAATAATTTAAATTTTAAAAATCAGGGGAACACTCATGGCAGTCTAAGATTAACCATTATTTAATGTAATTATAACCTTTTTCCTAATTCCTGATGGATTGCATCTAGGGGCTCTCGAGACCAAATTATTAATAATCTTTTTTAGTTTTGACTTTATATTTTGTTTTTTTTTCATGGCATGTTATTCATTAGAAACTTAATATCTCCGGGGTATTTTTTTAAGCAGTTTATATTTTATGGTAAAGCTGGGTCCTGAAATATTTATACCTACATATACTAGGGTTTTAAAGTGTCGAAAAAAAAAAGAAAAAATTGGGAAAAAAACCAGGCCTTAAAAAATGTCTTTTTTGGGAAAAATTGTTTTTGTACATTTGAAAAAAGTAGCAATCAACAACTTAATATTAATTAAAAAAAAATAAAACTAAAAAAAGGATATTATGATTATATTCAGCGTCGGAAATTCACTTTTTTCTCGATATCAGTGTACATACACATATACATATGTATCTGTAAAAATTTGTAAAAATACCAAGTAAAAATCTATAAAATTGGGAACAATAGCTATTTTCGCGGAGCTAATCCAGAACTAATTCCGGACATCCTAGGCATGGCATAAAATTTGGGTTTAAAAATGTATAGTGCGCATGACAAATATTAAAATGCGCATGCCTAGGATGTCCGAACTAGTGGATATCTCAAAAAAAAAGTTGGCAACTTGAACTGTCAAGAAAATTGGTTATGTTCGTATTTTTATTTTTGCATATACTTCATCCGCAAGTCTTGATACGACTGTTACACCAACAGAATCGTTCTTTTCAAGGTCATCGAAGCGTTTTAAATCTATTTTAAACGTAAGAAAGTGATTCCAAATATGCAATACAAAATTGCATGACCACAATGAGATTGCTGATTATCAAATAATGCATACTTTTAAGCTTCGAATATTATTGAACGGAATTCGGAGACATACATATTGAAAAAAAAACTGGGCCGCCCTGTATTTTTATCATTTCTATTTTTATGAAAAAAATAAACGTATAAAATAGTTATTATAGAGTCATATTAAAATAAATGAAATGGTTAAGGGCAAATGTTCTACTCACTTTGGTTCCTTGTGTTTTTTGTGCAACGACGACATTTTCATGTGGGCCCTGCGGTCGGCGTCGCCCTGTTTTGTTTTGGCCAAGGCCCTCTTATACGAAAGTGTGCATAGCCAACATAAAAGTTTGCCGTCCACCTGAAATTTTAAAGCTTCCAATTGCCAACTGTCCGAATTTTGTTGTTGAAAAATATTTTTAGATGCATAGCGTTTTAAATTTAAACTTGAACTTAACCTGCACAAGCCTGTATTGACCTCCAAATGTTATGTTTTTTGAATTTATACACCACATTTTGTGCACAGACCAAATTTTTATTGATGACAATTTTACAAAATTTTAAAATACGATTTTTTGTAGGTACCTATACAATTTTGTATTGACCTCCCAAATGTTATGTTTTTAGAATTTATACACCACAGAAATTACATTTTGTGCCCAACCCAATTTTTTATTGATGACAATTTTACAGAATTTTAAAATACGATTTTTTTGTAAGTATATAATTTTCATTTATCAAACTAAACACAGATTTTAATGTTTTATTTATTACATATTGCATTTAAATAATAACCGTTTCATTAAAAAAGTTGACATATTATTGTGTAAAAAAAGTATAATTTATAAGATATTTTTTTCTACTTGCAACATTATAATAATATAATATAAAACAGGTGGGGGATTTTTTTACAATTTGGCAACACAATGTCATTATTATTGAAAACGTCAGTTAGCATAATAAAGAATACTTTTTCCTCTGTGATTTTTTACTATAAATATTATTGTTCAATTATTATACACCAAAAATTCTGCAGGTTGATTACCAACTGCAAAATAAATCCCTAAATGGCAATATACAACTATTATAAAAATTTTGGCAAAATGATGTCTTGTGAAATTTGGTCTTTAATATATTATTACAGGCGCTCCTTTAGGATGGTTACAAATCAAAGATTTTTAATTTTTTTTATTAATTTTGGTAGGTAGGGTGGATTTTTTAATAAATAAATAAAATGGTGGAATTCTTGGTAAAAATTGCTTTTTTAATACCAAGTTATATTAATTTTTTACACTAAAATATAACTAAACAAAATTTTAGATTTTGATATAGGTATTTGGAATTTTTTTTGCCATTTTCTAAGGCTGGATTATTACATACTTGGTTATGTTATTTTCTAAGGCTGTATTATTTCATACTTGATTTTGTTCATGTAACCTTCATGTACCTGTTTAGGCTATGTAAAAACTGGTATTTATGGGAGGAAAACAGAAAGAACTAATAAAACCCAACAAAAATTATTCATAAAATAAGCAAAAAATATTTTTACCATATTTTTATTTATAATGAGTAACCTAGACTTCCACTAGTGCAATACCAAAAAATAAGATGTTGCTTCCTTATCTTTTAATATTTAAAAAATACAAAACAAGATCTATTTCCACCTTTTAATTTTTCCCAACCTTTGTGTCACACCCTGTATTTATTAGTTTAGATTCTCTTAAATTATTTAAGTCATGACTTAAAAATAAATACTTTTAATCAATTCAGACTTTTCCAATTTCCTAAACTCGAAAATTAAAAATCCTTTTTTTGAAGTAATTATTGTGTTTAATAACTACAAAATTTTTACTTTATACAAAGACAAATTTTCAAAACTTAACGAAATCGCGACATTTTAATTAATCTTGTTGACTTTATTTTAGACTATACGATCGTTCAAAACAATTCTATAACACTAATTATTATATTATTATTATAATGGTTTATTTTTTAATAATAAATTAATTTTAAGTAACATTTTATCAAAATAAATTTGTAATAAAATTATATTAATTTGTTCGTTTTTAAATACTTGTAAAAATGTTTTAATAAAATTAAAAAAAAAGATTTTTAATTGAAAAAAATTAAAAATCTACACCAATTTAAAGAATATTAAGTTTAGGTAATTTTTACCTTTAATATTAATACCTTTTATTATTATTATAAAAAAAACCATTACAATTTAGGTTGAAGTCCCTAATATACAAATATTTAATTGCATTTTAATATTATCTAGACTTAGAATTTGTAATTAAATATAATAAAGATAAAAATGCATAGTCAATGCATTGATTAGTTATATTTATAGGATAAAATTAAACAATGAACACTTTAAATATAATAATAATTCAAATGAAAATGCAATACCAGTATTTACAGTTACTCTTGTGCAAAATAAACTTCCTTAATTCAAAATTGGTACCTTAAAATAATAATCAAAATTATATTTACCTTCTTATCATCATCATGCCTATCAAAGGCACATTTCTGCTTGCATTGCTCGCAATTAACAGGTGGTCCATATTTGATCTCTGAATTCGTACAACGCTGACACTTGTTACCTATAAACGCAGCGATAATATTGCAGTACTCACATGCGGTCGGTTTTCCGTACGCTTTCACGTTTTGCTCGCACTTTTTACAAATTGTACTTGTGCTCCCCTTCGATGTTTGTTGAAATTCCGAACGACAATACGTGCACTTTACTACAGGGAACGCTCCGCGACATTCCTAATATAAAGAAAAACCACAAATACAGTAGACCAAATCTGTTTACGAAAGTATAGTCTTTTTGTCATGAAGATGTCGGCAATGTTGGTAAAACTGTCCACATTTTTAGATATTGTGAAAGGGTGATGATATAAAAGATCTAGGCTCCATGATATAAATAATAAATTATATTTATTTCCACCTTCTTAGTAAATGACATTTTATAGGTTAATTTTGTTGTTTTTGTATCCAAGTAAACGATAAATTATGGTTTTTCTATGATGGGAACAGACCTGTAATATTTTACGGGCTTGTATAAAAGACCTGTAAAGTTTTACAGGCCTGTAGAAAAGCAATTTATGAAATGAAATGACACATTTGACACATTAATTGAAATTTTAAATTTGAAAATCGTTATCTTAAGGTGAAAATAAAAGTTTGTATGTGTCATGCTTTGCAATTAATCTTTACTAGGCTCACTGAATTATGGGGTTCGCTCCTGCATCGCTCACCCCACAAACTCCCAGCTCGCCCGTAAAGATTCATTTACAAAGCTTGACACGTAAATAACTATTATATCATGTGTTTAACTTAAGAATGTCAGCAAGGTAGATAAAACTCTCCTAAAGTATATGCTAGGTATGGGTGTTATAACTGTATTAAGATTATTATTAATTAATTATTAAACACCATTTCAGGCCTGTCAGAGCAAAGTCAACAATCTCCAGTCAGACTAAAACTGAGTAAATTAAGATAATTGATTTTGGTATTTTAAATTCTTGATTTGTAATTTTTTTTATATATTTATTGAAATATTGTTGTTGTTAGTCTAGTAGCCAACTACAAGGTCTCCAGGATGCATAGTATAGGTGAAATCTATAATTATAAATTGGAGATTGCTGACTTTGATATGAATTGCTGGAGATTGCTCATTTTGTTGTAAACGTTTAAGGAGATTTAGAAAAATAAACAAAAAAATAATTGTATTTTTCTCCCTTTAATGGTTATAAAATTTAACTATACAATCAATGTGGGAAAATTTTGAACTGGACCAAATAAATCTGGAGTTTCTTCTAAATCTGGGACCAATTTTTATAGTACCACTCATCATCTCCTTCCCACTTTGCCCCGTAATGTTTTACTTGCAATGTTTTGAAATTATCAGCCTTTTCTTCATATAATAACACAAAATAAACAAGATAACTTTTTTTATAATTCTTAAAACAATAAAACGTAGATTTACCTATTTTAAATATATTTTTTAAGTGCAATTTACTGCAATAGAACTTAACAGTATGTACCAATAAAAAAAACACAAAGTTAAATCTCTTGAATACGTTATAACATCAAATGTTAGGATATCAGGTGACACAAATTACTAATTTCTAATGGTGGAATTGGAGATTGTATACTTTGCTGCAAATCTATCAGTGGAGATTGTCGACTTTGCACTAAATATCATTTTTAAAATAGGATTTGGCAGGATTTAGCTCCTTTTGCAGCACATAAACACATCTTATAGATAATTAGTTGAAGTATAGTCTCCACCAAAAATCTAATTTTTGACCAAAAGTGGAGATTGTCGGTTTTGCTATGACAGGCCTCATTTGTTTATTTCTAAAATTGTGGATAGTGTAGCCAAATTGTTCAACACTAATTTATTTTCGGCTATAGATATGGATTTACTAAACATACCAACAATCAAATTAAAAAATATACTCAAAGCACCAGGTATTCTAGCAAAATATGTATTAGCCTAGCGTCATAATTATGCTACGTAAAATAACCCAGCGCTATAGAGGATAAATTTGATTTTTGGCACACATAACCTATAACGTAACGGAGACTTACTTTGCAAAGTTGCTGGCCGGAAGACAGTTCTTCGAACGGATGACGAGAAAAACAACGTGAACATGCAAAAAGAGCAGCACTCATCTTATATTTATGCGTAAATTAAGGAAAATGCGAAGCCGTTCCCAAAGTTGCAAAATGCCAAAAACGCACTAAATTTCAAGGTGGCAACTTAACCAACTGACAATTTAAAGTTTAAATCGATGTTTTATTTTTTAGAAATAGAAAACCACTTTCATTAATTATTAATGTATTTGTTTATCAATATAATTAACTAAAAGATTAAAATGTTCGTTTTAAAATATCTTTGTTGACTTATGTTGGTTCCACTGTAAATTTAAACGTCAAGCGCCAAGTTTGAAATACCAAAATGGGGATTGATTATTATGGAGTTTTGCAAATACCCAGAACGAGTACTAATTTGGAAATCAAAAAAGCGTAAGTGGTCGTACACAATAATAAAATATTTCCTTGTGGGTAATATTTTTTTCAAAAGTTATAGATGTTTGGCACTTGAATTTAATCCAGAACGCTTTAAAAATGAACCCCACTCAATGGAGGTTTTTGCGCTTCTTGGAGAGGCCTACGATGTGTTAAGTGATCATTTAAAACGAGCTATTTTCGATCAGTATGGGGAAGAGGGGTTGAAAAAAGGGGTACCAACTGCTGATGACTTTTATCCCCCTTATAGATATCACGGAGACCCCATGAAGACATACAAGTAAAAAATTAAGATTTTTTATAGTTTTGTTCTATTTTTTCTCTTTAGAGATTTTTTCGGTACCAGTTCCCCATACGCCGACTTATTGGATTATTTACAAAAACCTCCTCCTCAGTTATATAATACAGCAGAAGGACAAGGTTTAAAAAAGAAACAGCCCCCCATTACGCACGATTTAAATTTAACGCTCAAGGAAATTTACTTTGGAGGAGTAAAAAAAATGAAAATACATCGGCTGGTTTTTACCGGGCACGACAAATGCCACACGGACTTGAAGGAAAAGATTTTGTCGATTCCTTTCAAGCCAGGAATCCAAGCTGGAACGGACATTACTTTTGTTGAGGAGGGCGATCAGAATCCAACACAAATTCCGGGTAGGAGGACCCAGATTTAGATATTTACTTGTATTTTATCACGATATACAAAAACCGCTATAGCTATAGTAAATTTAAAAGTAAACTACGTACACGTCATCAATAAAACAAAAATTTTACGCATTGGTACCAACACTAAATGACTAAATCGGAGTCTGTAATTGAATATTTGAATGCATTTTAACCAAATTAAGTTGGCAACAATTGTGATGTTGTCATGTTTACATTCAAATTTTTCATATTTAAATGACACATAAAAAAGAATTTGACGTTTTAGAATTTCGAAGCTGTCAGTTGTGTTTTTGAATATTTCATTTAATTCGTGTATTATTTCGTTTATTTTGTTTGTTGTTTGTGTTATTTTATATCGTTTAAGTTTTCATTGCCGTTTTTGTGTTTGTTATGTATCGTTTTTTTGTGTTTCCTATATTTAAAATGCCGAAGCATTTAAATAGTCGGAGTCAAGAGTTGGTGTCATCCTTAATACGCTATTTTGAGGCAGAACGGGATAATAATGGACCTTTGTTACCTTTAACAGCTGTTAGAGAGGTAAATAGGATTATTATTAATTATATATTAGAATATTTATCAAAATATATGTTGGATACCTGAAATAATAATATATATACCAGAGACTGACTTTAGATGGCAAAATTTTTGGGTTTTATATCAGAAAATGTCTTTAAAAATGGCTAAAAACATACTTTTGGCGGTGCATCATATAGGTTATAAAAACTCAGACTTTTGACATTTTGGTATTATTCATGTAAACGCCATCTATCGCCCTGTAGTTGCACTACCACTTTCCCTTGATGCAAGGATTTTAGCATCACATTGACAACCGTGCCCGATCAGCTGATTGATGACGTGTACGTAGTTTACTTTTAAATTTACTATATCTCTCTCGCACCGTGTGACGTCATGTGCGAAACAAAAGCTGGCGGGTAAAGTCTGATTTATAGATTGCCTTCCTTCCTTTCTTTTTTCCTCCCGTAGAAGATGAACAATACAAAAATCGTTGTGCTGTTTAAAGATTCCCGTACGGGAATCTATAAATGTTATATACCTATGGGAAATTTCACATGAATTTGTCATTTCGAAATTTTTTGGCAATTTTTCCATGGGTTCCCTGACTCAAAATTAAAATTCAATTTTAATTTTAGCATGGTTTTTGGTTTTTGGAGATATGATTTTTTAAATTTTCATTATTATAACGATTTTGCCAATATATTGTCATATCATCAATCATAACTTTGGTTCCAATTGAGCGATTTCGACGAACGACCAATCAATTTTCTTGGCTTGAAACTATAGTTTCAAGCCAAGAAAATTGATTGGTCGTATATATAGTTAGGTATTTGAAATAAATATGTTTGATGCTGTGGCAATTGAATTTTTATTTTGAGTCAGGGTATCCTGGGTGCAATTACTTATTAAGTGTTAGAAATGTTAAGAGTTAAATTGGCAGCAAGAGCTTTTAATACTAAAGTGACATATTTTAAGCAACAATTAATTTCCTAACTTCCTATTATTATTTTTCAAAATATTTTTTATTTAATTGAAATAACTTAAGTTACGTAAGACCGGATTTAACAATTTTTTAAAATGCATTATTACAGGTAATAAAAACGCACGCCTGCTTCTAACTGTCAAAAGTAAAAAAAAATCTCAAAACTGCTTTTTTTACTTGTAACACTTTTAAAGCGGGTTTCCGATACAATTGGGTTATAATTTTTATTATTGGTAAGAACTTATGCAAGCTGTAAAAATAAGTCGATGGGTGAAAAGTTACTATAAGTGCCTAACAGAAAATTGGATATACGAAAAATTGCTTTTTCTTACCGATTTTATTTTCATTTTTAATAATTTCTGAAAAAACTCAAAAGAAATCATAGTAATACACCCGTGCATAGCGTAGGCTTATGCAAAACTGTTTGTAACATTTAAATCTGGTTTGCTCGTGACGTCACATGCTTACCGGTGTATCGTGGTATTTTATCACTAAATGATCATGATTGCAGCTGATATAATATTTATTGTGCAAGAGAGGGAACACGAGCATTTTAAGAGGGAAAAAGACAATTTGGTGATGGTTCAACCAGTTACTCTTGAGGAAGCCCTTTTGGGCACTGTCGTTACTGTTAAAACTTTAGACAATAGAACGGTTAGGGTGCCAATAACAGACGTTGTTTCGTAAGTATTTCTTAAAACGTTAAAATACAAGACATAATGATTTTCACCAGACCCGAATACGAAAAAGTCGTGGAAAACGAAGGCATGCCAATTCTAGATAAGTATCCGGAAAAAGGCGATTTATTAATAAGATTTAAAGTACAATTCCCGCCTTATTTGCCGAAACCCAGCAAAGAGTTGCTCGAGCAAGGCTTTCATTTGGCGAAAATCGGTGGTGGTATGTATCAGCACGAATTAATCAACAAATTAGTGTTAGCCGATAAAATTCTACGAGTCGATCCAGACGAACAGTTACCCCCTATTTAATGTTGCTTGTTGAATAAATAAAGTTCATTATCACTCTTGTGTTATTATTGCGAGATCGTTGACCTCGTCCGATTATTTGTTGACGCGTCCTCGTATAATCCTTTGTTGTTTATGCAACTCAGATGACAGACAATCAGTGGTGCCAAACTAAGATAGGGTCAATAAAATCTCTAAAAAATGGCCGGATCCAGTCATGATCAATTTTCTAAATGGCTGGACGAAAAATTACGAGAATTGAATACGGACGAGTCAGTTTTCGGCTCTTACATAACGGGAATCCTTGACAGCGATGAAACGGCCGAAGAGAAACAGGAGGCTCTCGAGGGAATCCTTTCCGAGATATTAACAAATGTGGGTATTAAAAATTCGTGGTTATTTTGATCATTTTTTGATTGTATTTTTAGGAGGAAGATATATCAAAAATTTGCAATGAAATACTGGATAAATGGGAAGCGTTAAAGTCCAAAGAGCCCCCACCACAGGCACTATCAACTGACGATATGAATGACAAACTGGCCAAACTACTTGAATCCCAGTCTCTAGCTACGACCAAGCAAAAACAATACACAGCAGAGGAGAAAAAGATTAAAGACGCGATTTTATCGCAATATGGCCAAATGACTGACAGTGAGGAAGAAGATGATGATGTTCAAGGGGCTGCTGCTCCTGCTGCCGCTGCTGCTGCTTCGGGAGAACCCAAAGAGAATGGACTGGAGAAAAATTTAAACTTCCAAACAGTTCAAAGGGCTGAAAAAGATAAACGAGAACAAGCCAGAATGGACAGTCAAAAGAAAAAGGAAAAGGATAGAGAGGACAGGTTTGTATTAGGATTAAAGACTAAAATGTTATACTTTTGCCCTTTTTACAGAGAGAAACAAAAACAACTAAAAGAAGATAAGAAGGAAAAACGTAAGACTCAAAAAGGAGAAAGGAGGAGGTAGCACTTCAAATAAAATTATTGTTGTAAGATAAAAGTTATTGAATTTGTAAAAAAATGTACAATTGATTATTGCGAATAATATGAGAAATTAAATCAATCTGGAGTGTCATATTTTCTAAATAAATACTAAACACTATTGTTTTCTTGAGTTTTATTGACAATAACTTTAATAATATAATATAAAATCCCTTTTTTAGATATTTCGCGGCAAAATTTTAAATGATTTGGTGATTTCAGAGTTGCCAACGTGAAAAAATTAAAATGTTCCCAGAACAGCTGAACTAAGGTCCGAGTTGTAATGAACTTTCTCCTGACGTTGACAAAGATTCATTAAAATTTTTATCTTAATCACGTTAAATTTCACGGAAGTGTAAAGGTTTTCACTGGGATTTGGTGAAACTTTGAGCTGGAGAGCTCAAGAAAGTGAACGACCAACAATTAAACGTGAAAATGTCTGTCTGAAAACTGGTGCAAACATAAAAACAAGAAAGATTGTCATTCGTAATTAGGCAATGTTAAAATTCATTATTTAGTTTTTCGTGATATAGTTAATTAGTTATGGGTGTAAAAGACGCAACAAAGTGTGATTTAACCGTCAGTGGTTTGTGAGTGTTTAAAAATAATGATCTTATAATTGAAAGCCGAATTTGGAGTGTTTAAGAAAGAAAGCAATGTCAGCTATGAAAAGTGGAGTTGTAGCTAAAAAGGAAGGCAAGATGAGAATCCGTGCCTTTCCGGTAAGTACAATGTTTTTTATCTCTAAAAAAAAATCTTCAACTTGCATAAAAGTCCCTCTTTCAACAAAATTCTTCATTGTTGAAATATGATACTCATGCTGAATATCACAAGAAGTGTTTTGATTTATTTTTGTCAAAATAGACATTGTATCTATCAATTTGTGCAAAAACAAAACACTTAATATGTCATCCAGGCCAAACTGAACTTTACAAATTCATCGTCATTTTATAATCAAAATTAAGAACTACCCAGACATTTGCAAATCAAAATAGAAACATTACTGATACTTATTTTGAATGATTAGCCACTGAATGCTTCTATGTATCATACAATCTATACAATGAGTGGTCATTCTAGTTTTTCTAAAAAATGGGACCCTCCTGGAGATATAACGAACTCAAATGTAACAATGACATTTGTAGACCCACTTTGTTTACATTCCTAATTAAACCTTCCCTTTAGATGACTATGGATGAAAAGTATGTGGAGAACATATGGACCCTGTTAAAAAATGCAATTCAAGAAATCCAAAAGAAAAACAACTCGGGTCTTAGTTTTGAAGAACTCTATCGAAATGCCTACACAATGGTGTTGCATAAACATGGAGAGCGTCTCTACACAGGGCTCAAGGAGGTTGTCACACATCATTTGGAATTGAAAGTGAGTTTGAATAGAAATATTGGGAGGTTTTACTACTGCTAATTCTTTTGTAGGTACGAGAAGATGTGCTAAAATCTTTACATAACAATTTCTTAATGGCTTTAAATCAAGCTTGGAATGACCATCAGACTTCGATGGTCATGATTCGTGATATTCTTATGTATATGGATAGAGTTTATGTTCAACAAAACGATGTTGATAATGTATATAATCTTGGACTTATAATCTTCAGAGATCAGGTAAATAATCAAAATCATTTATTATGCAATAATTATGCTAATTAGCTTGATAAATTTGTGTTTAACTTAATAAACTAATGTAATGGTATTTTTAATTTATGTTTGATTTAATTATTGCTATTGACTGACTTGCAATATTAAATTATAATTTTTATTATTGTTTAGTCACCTGCTGTTTAATTGTTTACTTTTATTTACATACAGCTGTGCATGTCATCATGCTTTATTTTACCTGATTTAATAAAAAAAAACATTTTTTAGTGGTTTCTAAAGTAAAAAGTTAAGTTTAGAGAATGGATTTTTTGACAAAATCTGACTACCATGTTAAACTCAGCTGAGTTTTTCAAACCAAAATTAGAAAATAATTTAATACTTAAAATAAAGTTTTCCTCTAAAACTGAACTTTTAATTGATTAATTTTTGCAAGTGTTCCAAGTATGTATGTTTAATTTATTTAAAACTTAAAATATTTAATAATACAAGTGCACCTATTAATGATAATAATTTATCAGGTTAAATAATTGGTGATTAAATGTTTCCTGATTCTGATAATAATTAAAAAAGTTTGGGTAATTTTATTTATTGTATTATTATTATGTCCAATTTAAATTGTTCATAGGTAATAGTTTTTAAGTTTATATAGGTTAACTCACAATCACGGCTATGTTCCGTAATTTACTGTCAGTACTGTCGATACTGAAAACACATTCCAAAATCCACTTTCAGTTACTGAGCTCAGTGGTAAATACTACCCTTTTATAAATGTACGGCAGATTAATTTTATTGAAACAACTGGGGACAGAGAGGTGCTGTGGCTCCAGTAAAACACATAACCAAACTTTTAAACAAAAAAATAGCTGTCAAATAAAGTGAAGGATATAAATTATATCGGCTGTGTTCCGTAATTTACTGCCATTACTGTCAGTAATTTTACTGTCAGTAGCGGAAAAGGACCGTTCCGTAATTTATTCAGTACTGACGCACAGTGAAATTGGAACGCGCCTCAGTAGCAGCAGAAAGTGACAATGGTTACGCAAGGTTATGATTTGTGATTTACTTACAATTGACAATCTTTACTTTCGGCACAGCAGAGAACATAAATAAAAAATAAATAAAAAATAAATATAACAGTTATAACATTAAATTTTCCATATTTCTCTGCCATAAACCAAACATTATATTTCTTATAAATGTTATATTTATTTTTTATTTATGTTCTCTGCTGTGCTGAAAGTAAAGTTTGTCAATTGTCAGTAAATCACAAATCATAACCTTGCGTAACGATTTTCACTTTCTGCTGCTACTGAGGCGCGTTCCAATTTCACTGTGCGTCAGTACTGAATAAATTACGGAACGGTCCTTTTCCGCTACTGACAATAAAATTACTGATAGTAATGGCAGTAAATTACGGAACACAGCCCACAAAACAAGGGCTGTGTTCCGTAATTTACTGCCATTACTGTCATGACAGTTACTGCAGTAATTTTACTGTCAGTAGCGGAAAAGGACCGTTCCGTAACTTATTCAGTACTGACGCCCAGTGAAATTGGAACGCGCCTCAGTAGCAGCAGAAAGTGACAATGGTTACGCAAGGTTATGATTTGTGATTTACTGACAATTGACAAACTTTACTTTCGGCACAGCAGAGAACATAAATAAAAAATAAATATAACAGTTATTATAAGAAATATAATGTTTGGTTTATGGCAGAGAAATATGGAAAATTTAATGTTATCGTCGTCCGCGTCGAAAAATGTATACAGGAATAGGAAATATAAAATTTCACTGACACCACAACAATAACCCAAATACCAAAAATTACTCTTAAATTCGTCCGCTGAATACAAATATATAAACTTTTTCTAGGTACTACCTATAGTTAGTACTATAGTAGGTAGTTTCATATTCTGGGTCTTCGTATGCGTACTCTCCGCCGACCTGTCTTCGTCACTGCTGCTTGTACTTTCAAGTAATATTTTATCAATAAATATTGAAATAATTAGTCCTATACGTATTCACCAAATACCATTATAATATTATCATATCATATTATGATATAATTTATATCCTTCACTTTATTTGACAGCTATTTTTTGTTTAAAAGTTTGGTTATGTGTTTTACTGGAGCCACAGCACCTCTCTGTCCCCAGTTGTTCCAGTAAAATTAATCTGCCGTACATTTATAAAAGGGTAGTATTTACCACTGAGCTCAGTAACTGAGAGTGGATTTCGGAATGCGTTTTCAGTACCGACAGTAGGTACTGACAGTAAATTGCGGAACATAGGCAAGGTACCATAACCCACAAATTAACCTTAAAATTGACATTTGACAGTTTGATGACAGCCCTGATAGAATAGGGTTTAGTTTTTAAAAAAGAGGAGTAAAATGGTTGCCCTTGGCACTTTAAGGCCTCTTTTAAGGCTTACAAGTGCCTCTGTAAGAAACACAATGTTTAAAATGATTATTAATCTGTATAAACAGCATAAACCCAAAGCACAAGAATTGTAAACAACAAAAATGGCCGCCGTTAAACTCTGTGCAGTGTTTCAGTGATTTTTAGTACGAGATAGAACAGATTTTGTTGTGTGGATTGTGGATTAACTTACTTTTGCATTATCAAAAATATTATTGAGTAAAATTATAAGAATCAAGAAACTCTCAAGTTTCACCTATTAGGTTATCAACATTTAGTACATGTAGATGTCATACTGATAATCATTCTTTAATTTAAACTTTATTATTGTCAACACTCACTACTAACTAAAGTGATTGATTATAGCCAAGGCTGCATACAAAATTAAGACCAATTGAGTAATGTTTTTTACCTCCTAGTCTGTGAAAATCCTTTTCAGATGTATCTTACCTCACTTTCTACTTTTAATAAATATTATTGTGCATTATATCTATTGTTTATCAAATAAAATTATCCCTTGAGGATAAAATATTCTATGCTGTGTGTAACCTATTGCAGGCCCGGGCGCAAGGGGGGGTTGGGTTCCCCTTCATTAAATCCAAAATAAAAAAATATACTACTCAAAATTACCAAAAGAAAATTGTAACTATCAAAACACAACCAATAACCACTAAAATAAACAAGTAAAAAACCATTATCACCTGCTGCAAATTTAGAGACATCTATTATTATAATAATATATTATACTAATGTAAGTTATGTTTGTAATTTTTATAATAAAATTCTATATTTATTCTTTTTTACATGAAATAAATAGTTTGTTTCTTCTGCAACAATTACACTGTCTTACAAGGAGTTTTTAACAGAGCTGGGATCATTTTCGTATTCAGGGCATCCAAAAATTGCGTCCAAATAAATGCGGGAGCAAGCCGAAGAATTTATTTGCTAAAAGCCAATTTAGGAAATTTTAAAACGAATTTCGATATAGGTATTTATACTCATTTTTTTTTTAATCTTTACGTTCATTTTCCTATTTACAACAAAAATTGCAAAATTATCAAAAATTATGTTTTTGATTTTAAGAGATGCTGAGTAAAGAAGATGTATACATTATTTTTTCTACTTCCACCTTTAAAACGCCCATTATTGTACATGTTTTCATGACACTAAGTGACCTTTTAAATACAGATTGTGGCTGTAAGGCGCTTTAGTCACGGGTTAAAGCCAGCAACAGGTTTTTAGTCACGGGCTGAAGTTAGATTAAAGTTAGTTGGCTGTTGTCAAATGTCATAAAATCGTTAAAATAAGGTGCCTTGTAAAATAATACTAAATGTGAAAATTATTTTATTATCTCAATACAAAAGTATTAAATAGTTTCTTAACTCCAATATTTGAAAATATTATATGAACTGACCTCGGAACTGACCTTTTGATTTTGCCGTAGTAGTGGAGTGAAAAACTGCTTTTATCTCTATTGTTAGACTATTAAAGTAAATTCCCAAGTTTTAAATTCTAACAGAAATTCCAATAAATACAACTGTCACTGATCTAGTGGCTAAAGTTAACGACTCATATTAGTGAATTGGCCTGAATATCATATTTTGTAGTTACGAACAATGTTAATGGTGAAAATTACGTCAAAAATCTTTATTTGGATGGTTACTTCATTTTCGTATAGATGTCGCTGTATTAATTTAAACCGTAACTGCTACTATGCTATTTTAGTACCGTTCATACTACTATGCGGTCAAATTGACCGGAGCGAATAAATCCTATTTTTTCTACATTTCTACAAGAATAATGTTTAGTAATTGTCAATAGGTACCTAAGTAAATCTAAGTACCTTAACACTTTTTTACCATTAAACTGACGTTTATGTTATGAGAAATTACACTTACGGACAAATTCGCAACTATTAAGTTAGCCGCGTAATTCAAATTTATAAAAATTAAAAGGTCAAATTGACCGAACAGTAGCAGTTACGGGTTAATTCATTTTTTAGATAATATAAAGTATTTGTCGTAAATAAAGTATAGTAAACAACTCGTTTCTAGGCACTCATTTAATTAAGCACTCGCTCGCAAGAGTTCGTGCCTAAATTAAATTCGTGACTAAAATGGAGTTTATCAAACTTGATACTTAATACACTATTATCTACTCCTTTTTTCCGTGAATATTGATAATAGTATATTTTTATACGAGAGATAATGCAGTCTAGATAATTAAATGATTTTCAAAATTAAATAAATAAAATCTGACATCTGTCAAATTTTATTTATTTAATTTTAAAAATCATTTAATTATCTATAGTTGTCGCGGCGAATGTTTCAAATTGCGTCATCAATTTCTGAACCAAGCAGACATAACAATTATTGTTGTTTTCTTTTACGTATATAATCCAAGGAGCCGCTAGGTTAACCGTATGTCGAGAAATCGGTTTTTGACATTCGACATTGATGACGCAATTTAAAACATTCACCGCGACGACTATACTTATTGGAGTAGATAAAGTATAGTATTACACTCGAGATTATGCGCATTATTCACTCGGATGATTTTAGTCTCTCGTATAATAATATACTATAATAACAAGAGTTGGAATAACATAAAACGACGTTATGATACGTAAAAAGTCAATAAAATTGAAAAATATAATTTTTGTTAATTTTGCAATTTTTGTTTTAAACTCGAAAATAAACGTGAAGATAAAACAACTTTTTTAAGTCTGAATATATCAAAATGATCATTATTAAATTTTCTACAACTTGGGGATATCTCGTACAGTTGTATTGATTTTTGAAGTTGAAGTTCGACATAGATGAAGAAAATAAGGTTTTGGCTGACCTTTTTTCTAGTTTTCGGCTGCCCTGAACACTAAACAAATATCTCAGCTCTTTTGCAATTTAAGTTTTGGTTTCGTCAATTTGTTAAAAACGCCTTAAACCCAAGGCCGATTTTCTCATTAAATTGTTAAAAACATATACATACACTGAACACTGTCTAAAATTGTTTTTGCATTTTATTGAATTATTTCTTAAAGGTTGTACGATACGGTTGTATAAGAGACCACTTGCGCGGTACATTGCTGGACATGGTGATGCGGGAAAGGCGAGGTGAGAAGGTCGACAGAATCTCTATCAAAAATGCCTGCCAAATGCTTATGGTGTTGGGCATTAAGTCTCGATCTGTTTACGAGGAGGACTTTGAACGACCGTTTTTGCAACAATCTGCCGAATTTTATAAAGTAAGTCGTTCTTATGGCGGGTTTACGAGTCACTCGCGTGCGTTTGGAGGTCGCGTTTACGCGAGCTAGCCAACGCGCGCGACGGTTTTAACTCATGGTGGGCAATGGGATCGTTTATAAGTGACCTCGCGTGCGTTATAAGGACGCGTGCGCCAAATCTCAGCCAGTTTGACGCGTCTTGGTTTTTATCCGGGGAAAAAACTTTACGCCGTAAAAAGATCGCGCGCGTTGAAGCCGATATCACGTGACATGGCCAGCCAATGGCTTCAGCCGTAAAATTAGCAGACGAGCTAAATTCATTAATATTGCGGTTCGGCGAATTAAAAATGGGTCCATTTTCCCAAAGTATGAGACATCAGACGAAATCAAAACACACGCACTGAGGAACCAGCTGACGTTTGAAGGTGAGCAAACGCGCGCCTTTGAAACTCGTAAATGGGGTCGCGTCAGGAAGAACGCGTTGACGCGAAGGTCCAGGAAACGCACGCAAACCTCAAACGCACGCGAGTGACTCGTAAACCCGCCATTACTTCATAAAAAAAGATGTTAATTGTTGTTTTTTCCTAGGTCGAAAGCCAAAAGTTCTTGGCCGAAAACAGCGCGTCTGTGTATATTAAGAAGGTGGAAGCGCGCATCAACGAAGAATCCGACAGGGCCAAACATTACCTCGACGAATCCACCGAGACCAGAATTGTCGAGGTCGTCGAAGAGGAGCTGATCAAAAAACACATGAAAACCATTGTAGAGGTAAGTTTTCCATTATAATATTTTATAAAAAATAAAAATTAACTACGCTAAACATAAAAATAAAACAAAAACACTTGTTAAATAAACCAAAACGTTCTAAAACCATACGTTAAATATTAATTCTATAAAAAATAAATTGCACTGGAAAATAATACCTTCAAAATAATACATTTACGAGTATTGCATGACAAAGAAATTATTCTTTTTTTAAATATATTTATATTAGATGTTGAATTATTTATTTAATGTAATTTTAATACATTTTAATATTTCTTATACAATTAAAAAGTAAACGGCGTGCCACAATAAATTTTATGTGTACAAATAAAATTAATGCACTGAATTTTTATTTTGTAATTAAAATTATGACCATTTATTAATAATTTTAGAATTAATTTTTTCTACTCCTATTACGGAATTTGACCCTTCTAATATCACTTTTATCTATGGAATGACATATATTCCGTAAACTGTTACAGAATGAAATATTCTATCATCTGATGATAGAATGAACACTCGTGGCGACATCTCTGTGTTTAATATCTAACAAATTTTAGACCGATCCAACCTCACTTTCTTCCAATTAAATTATTATTCTATGGTATTTTTAGGAAACGTAGAAAAAGTATAGTCTGAAACACATTTGGTATTGCATATTCCGCTCTCGTGAAACCGTCAAACTCGCCTTCGGCTCGTGTGACAAACTCTTCACTCGAGGGGAATATGCTGTATTCCAAACTTGTTACAGAATATACTATTATGTCTACACATAAAATTAATTTGGCGCTGCGAAAGTGCAGCCGAAAGTGGCAACTGCTGTAGTTCAAATGGTTGTTATGTTTAATTTATCTACGTTAAATAATTATATTACAAAACTAGAAACTTCTAGTTTTGTGATTAATATACATAAAAATAATTTCAATAATTATATAGATAGACGAACAAAATCCTACTATGCATTTGAACTACTGCAGTTGCCACTTCCTGCTGCATTCCCAAAGCCCCAAATTATTTATGTGTAGACATAAAATTAATTATATAGGTAATTGTATGTGTACAGATAAAATTAATTTTATAATTTTTCTAATGTTAAGTCATAATTTTAATTGTAACATAAAAATTAATTGCATTAATTTTATGTGTTAAAAAAAATTGTTCAACAAAGTTAGTACTTATCACAATAATTACAATATAAATTTCAAAGTAAAAAAAATAAGAATCTCATACGAAATAAAAATGGACCAAATTTGATGACGCAAATATTAATTCAATTAACAAAATAATAAACTAATCGAATAAAGTTAAGCATATTAATATATTTTGACCAAAACATAAATTTAACGATACAATTTTATACGCCCTGTATATTTTATTTTATTATTTGGTAATAAAAACGTAAAAATGAAAGAATCTTAGACAAAAAAGAACGAAGTCGAAAAAACGCATTATAGGTATCAGTCGGTATCCAGTTTGATTTCAACTTTGTTCAAAAATATGCTTAACTTTTTTCGATCAGTTTATGTAAAATGTTTAAAAATATTCGTCGGGTAAAATATTTAAATGTTACAAAAAAATGCGTATCAAATTAAAATGTATATTTAAAAAATAATTATTATTATTATGCCTAGACATAATAATTATTTGTTATTTTTCTTATCTGTTTCCATTAAATTTGAATTAAATTTATGCTTGATTTAATTTAATTTAATTATTTTTATTTAAGTCAGATATAATTAAAATTATAAAAAATCATATATTCAATAATTTTAAAAAACCTACTTCAATTTTCTTTTTTACATTTAAAACATTTGCGATTAAAAAGTGAAATGGCGTGTCATAGGTTCATGTACCTAAGTTGATTAAGCAGTTTATTAACTCAGATAATTCAATAAAAAAGGGGAAGAAATTAGGGATATTTATTAATTTTATTTTAATTTCTTTTTATTATTATTATTATGTTTTTTTATTCATTAAATATGTATTATGATTCTTTGTCTATTATATTAAATTATATTAGACATTGTTAGAGATTATTTGCAAATGCGGTACGCATTTTTATTTGAAATATATTCACCCGAGTGAACCCGATCGCCCCTCCCTATTGTAAGCGGATTGCCGTATGCGACGATTCAGTCATATTTTGCATTTGCTAGTATGTATTTTGAGCGTTTTATAATCAATTAATTTCTTTTATTTAAAATTATAAGTTATAGTGTCGTACACCTATAATAGATTTTATATATATTTTAAGAAGTTTGATTTTAGTTTTTTTAGAGAATTGATTTATTTATTTTGATTTGGTTTAGTTTTAGTTTTAAAAGGAATTTTTTTATGCTTAACCGTTTTTAATAAACACTTTTAGTTAAATGCAAAACAATTATTGATTTTCACCTTTAATTAATAATGTACTAAGTGATTACGTTACATTTTAAGTATTTAAATCATTTTTAAAAGTAAATTAACTTAATAGGTTAAGGGGTTACATACATATGAGGTCTTAAAAATTAACGGTTTTTGGTGATTTTTTTGGTATATAATAATAATTATATTAAAACAAACTATAAAGCATCGAATAGGGTATGTTTCGAAGTATTTGTGAAAAAATTTGTGTTCAAAAATATGCAAAATTGTGGAAAATACGGCACTTGGCCCGAAACGCCTTTTTTTTTAAGCGTTTGCGGTGAGCATAAAATATCAAAAACCGCCCAACAGATCTTGATGGAAAAAAATACATATTAGTACATAGTATCAACCCCTTCATGAACGAAGGGTTTTCTAGGGTACAAAAATTGTGTTTTCTTATTGTTATTATTATTTTTGCAGATGGAAAACTCGGGGGTGGTGCACATGCTGAAGCACCAGAAGACCGAGGACCTGGCGTGCATGTACAAGCTTTTCGGGCGCGTGTCGGACGGGCTGAAGACGATGGCGGACTGCGTGAGCCAGTACCTGCGCGAGCAGGGCAAAGCGCTCGTGCAGGAGGAGGAGCACCAGCCGGCCACCAACGCCATCACGTTCGTGCAGAGCCTTCTCGACCTGAAGGACGGCTTCGATCACTTCCTCAAGAACTCCTTCAACAACGACAAGATCTTCAAGCAGATGATCGCGTCCGACTTCGAGCACTTCCTCAACCTGAACCCGAAGTCGCCCGAGTACCTGTCGCTGTTCATCGACGACAAGCTCAAGAAGGGAGTCAAGGGGGTAAGTGAAGATTTTTTTTTCTCAACTTGTTCTTATTTTCTTTGTTTTTATAGATGTCCGAACAAGATATCGAATTGGTACTCGACAAGTCCATGGTGTTGTTCCGATTCCTACAAGAGAAAGACGTGTTTGAAAGATACTACAAACAACACTTAGCCAAACGTCTTCTTCTCAACAAGTCGGTTAGCGACGACTGGGAGAAGAATATGATCTCAAAATTAAAGGTAAGACCACATACAAACCTTTTGGGACGTTCCACTGTTGGAAACATTCAAATACAAGGACATTTTAATTGCCGTATTTACGAAATCGTTTAGTCATTGACAATATTTTTAGACGTTATAATATATCTACAAGTTTAGTCAAATTTTGTTAATTCTGATGGAATTTTTTTTGGATTTTGGATATGTTGTACCTGACGGTCTAAAAACTCTAAAAGGTGTCCCACCCTACGAAGATTTCCTCCTTTTTTAATTAAAAAATGAATCATTTTATCTTGTTTCCTATTGGTCTAAAAAAGCCAAAAAAATGTTGAGCCTGAAATTTTAAACGTATTTATTTAAAGGCCAAAGTTAACAAAAATTGTTTTTTTTTATATTTTGATCCTCTAAAATTGATTAAAACTAAAAAAGTTGTTTTAAACATGTTTTTTGTGCGCCACAGTTTTTTTGAACAAAACATTTTTTAAGTATGTTTTTTTATGCTTGGTTTAAAACACAAAAATCTAGTAATTGTAGTGGTTTAAACTTTGGAACTGTTTTTAAGCACTTTGTTTTAAACTGTTTAAAACATTTTGTTTTAAACATGCCAACCCTGCCCAAAATGAACACGTTTAAAAAACCCACTAAATAACCATAGCGGTATCATGTTTTATAAACGCCATTTTAGTTACGAGTTTTATTAGTCATTAGCGAAGCTTGCGAGCGAGTGTTTAATAAAAACGATTGCCTAGAGAAGTTTATAAAACGAGTTGCATACTATACTTTATCTACAACCAACACAAATAAGAGTTTAAAGCCAATTTGAATTTTTAAATATTTGACGAATTTAACCTCACTTTTTCGCAATTTATAATAAAGCTAACTTCAGCCTGTGACTAAAATGACATTAGTTCATAGCTTGTCATAGTGGGAGAAGATAATAGTATATTATTATATGAGAGATAATGCAGGTTATTATTCAAAAGGGTGAGGTTTGCTTCTCGAGCCATCAGGCGAGAGACGTAAATCATCCGAGTAAATAATGCGAATTATTTCGAATGTAATACTATGCTTTTTCTACTCAAATTAATTAATTTTCATTTATAACAAAATTTATTATCACCTCACTTTTTCCCAAATTTAAAGATCATTATAGTCGGCCCTCGTATATATAAACTTTTTCCAATTCAATACCCGATTGGTTCAAATAACAGTGAATATTGAAATCAGCCAATCACTGATGCTTAACAACGTGAATAATGAGTTTAATATTCCCGTTGTTAGACCGGGCGGTTATATTGGTTACCATTATTTACTAAAAAAAAACAAATAATGTCAATAATATGCAGTAGGAGTAAAAATAATGTTTAGTCGTTTAAATTTAAACATTAAAAATGTAAAAATTCATTCTTACATTCAACCAAAGATCTAAGGGGACATCCATTAATTACGTGAGGCATAATTTTTTTTAACATATTTTTTTTTTTTTATTTATTTATTAACCCAAAAAGATTACAAAAGAATCCATAACAGGTAACAAACATAATTATGTGGATACATTTCTCTTGTTTAATAAATACAACTTAACTAATGACGTAAAAGTACATAGTAATTTCACATTTTTTATATATTCTGGCAGTTCATTAAACCATACCACAGCTGACCTATGTTTCTAGCACTAGGTAAAACATGATAATACATATTTTTTAAACTCAAAAGTTGACTTGAGATTTTAAATCCCTTAAAATGAGATTTGGTGAGATTTTGCTGGACCCCTCCCCCATTTTTGTCTCACGTAATTAATGGATGTCCTCTAAAAAATATCAATAAAAAGTCTTAATATAAAAAAATAATGTTTTTTTTAACTTTAGAAACTAAATACAGAAAGTTTTCTTATAACAATTTTGTGGAAAATGTATACATCTACATTTAATGCTAAAACTTTTTTGTACAACCAATAGGAAACGAGATTTTACCGTTTAACCACCAGGAACAACAAATCAAAAATCGAGTCAGTTCGGAATTTTTTTTATGTGCCCCCTGATTTTTTGACTAGGATTAAAAAAATGCATAATTCTGACATTTGCAACTTATGTTATTAAATTTTAAGTTAAATGTTAATTAAACCAATAACATTTCTTAAAATTTATTAATTCAAAACAGAAATGCAGTAAACCATGTTATAAGTTAAAAAAATCAATTAAATGCTTTTTGCTTTTTATAAAAATGTTTCATTAAGTACATTAAGAAAATATTAAGATAGAATTTATTAAGTGACCAAACATATAGTTGTTAGGGCTCATATAAGCCCCTATTTAGGCTTTTCATAAAAATGTTATTTATTGATGGTTTGGAAAAACTTCCTTGTTTATTTTTATGTTGGACAGTGGAAAGTTCCTCTTATTATATTTCTCTTTGTATAAAATATGTAAAACATTTAGGAGAATGGTGCAAAGTGTAAAATGTTTGAGGAAATGCTGACAAGCAAAGTACTTATTGTCGAAGTAGATGAAGATTAAACTTCAGATAATAATTGAAGTCTGCAAAATTCTCATGTCACATCATTGGTCACTTTTCGTTGTCGCGTAAGACTTTTTATTTTTGCCTTATGTTGGCATACATGCTCCCCCTAAAGTGACCAAAATTCTATTCCCCTAATGCGATTTTTTTTTCTTGATTTTAAGGAAGTTATATCGGCAGAAGTTTTACTTTGTAAATTGCACGATACTTTCACTGCCATGTTTTACTAATTGAAAATAATTGAAAATTATGTGGGTGAGTATTTTTGAGAATTTTGCAAGACTTTAAGTGGAGCATTGTATGATAATGTGGTATAGTTATGATAAGAATATATATTTATCATTATTTCTATTTTTAAGTTATTATTGATTTGTAAGTTTATGTTGTTTTAATATTAATTGGACTGCAATAATAAAAGTTTAAAATTGGGTAAAAAAAAATTTAAACTATAACTTTTAAAAAGTAAATTTCATACACAAATTCGTGTCAAACTTTAATAAAACCATTAAAACCATTAAAAAATAAATAGTTGAAGTTGGTTAATAATAAAAAGAAAGAAGACTAAATACAGGAGGAGTAACTTGCTAGCCCCCCCAAATACTCTTTAAGTGTATACAGGGTGTCCCATAATTAGAATGCAATATTTAACAGCAGATTCCACAAAAATAGGAAAAAAGTTTATATAACCATAGATCGAGAAATGCTTTCTAAGGGAGCTACAGCCCCCGAAAGGGGAGCCCCTGATGGTGGTTTTTATTTAATATCTCCAAAACCGTTCAAGATAGAAAAATGAAATTTTGAGAATTGATCAAACTCCCTGTTATTGCATAAAATTTCACCTGTCTTGAATAATTTTTCCTAAACATGGCAGCCATGTTCCTTGGTCCAAGCTGAATCTTTTTTCTAGTTGTGATTTCATTAAGAATTTGTATGTAAGGTAATTTTCAAATCGATTTTAAGCGAAAATGGTAAATATTATCGAAGTTTAACAAGATAACCTTTTTTGTGTATAAAACTCCAAAATAAAATAATCTGACATCAAATCCTGGGACAAGACACGTACGAAATCACCCCCCTTCATGGCAATTTTAAAATTGTTACTATTACTATTACTTTTTTATACATCTTATTGGCCATAAAAAGTTTGATCAATTCCCAAAATTTTACGTTTTTATCTTGAACGGTTTTGGAGATATTAAATAAAAACTTTAAATCTTTAGAGGCTCGTCTTTCGGGGGCTGTAGCTCCCTTAGAAAGCATTTCTCGACCTATGTTTACAGGAATTTTTTTCTTATTTTGAAGTTTTGCAAGTTAATTAGCCGTAGCCGTAGCCGAACTTCATGTACAGTTGCCGACACGGAATTTTGAACGACATAACTTGGTTGTCAATGTATACATCTGTAAATAGCAAAGATACAATATTGAGCATTTTTGCTTTCGCTGTCAAAATTACAATACTAGTGATAACCGAAAGTAAGGTTAGTTGTCCATAAAAAAAGTTTAGATTTTGATGTCAACGGGATGATAGTCGTTCAAAATTCCGTGTCGGCCACGGTATACAAGAATCATCCTAAGATAAGAGGGCGCTGGTGTTCCGTTTGTTTTGAAACAATTGACTAATTTGTACCGAAACGCTACCAAAAGAGCAGACATCAGTACGCATCTACAATCAGCGCCGTTGGTGGTGAAAAAAAAACTTAATTTGAGCAATTAAGAGGGCAGGTTTTGACAATTTTCCCTATTAAGTTCGGGCTCCTTGTGTAGGCTCCATGAATGTCAACGTCAACCTTATTTGAATTGTTTCCATGGCAAAATGTAATATTGAACACAGCGTTGCCGAGTTTTTTAAACTTAAATTCGTAGAAACTCGATTTTTTTATTCTTAGGATAACTAGTAACAAAGTAAAATGTTTTGTGCATATGTCCATCAGTAATTTACCGTAATTTCCAAAACAATATTTCGTCCTCCCTTCATTATACTTACATTTTAAAGGGAACATTTTTTGTTTTCAGACGGAATGTGGTTGTCAATTTACGTCAAAATTAGAAGGAATGTTCAAGGACATGACTGTATCGAACACCATTATGGAAGAGTTTAAAGAGCACATTTCCAAATCAGAGGTGAGTCGTTTAAAAAAAAATAATGCTTTTCAATTGTTAATTTCGACACTAATTTTTAGGCCAACTTGGGCGGAGTAGACTTGTTTATGAGAGTTTTAACGACCGGTTTTTGGCCCACGCAAAACGCAACGCCAAAATGTCACATTCCGGCCATCCCACTGTCTGCCTTTGAATGTTTTCGTAGGTAAGTAATCAAACTTTTTAGTTTTAAATTTTATTTACTGTTAAGGAAGTTCGGGCACTATAAAAAATGTTAAAACAAATTTAAGTTGTACTGACACATGACTGAAATTTAAAGTTTGATATCAGATTCACTGAAAGTAGAATTTAGGTTAGGTATTTTACCCTTTAACTTTATCATAGCTACAACCAAAGTTGGCAGATGAGGCGATTTATCCTAAGTTAGGCGATTTTTTATGGTTCTGCTATTATTTTAAAAATTGTTGATTTTTACTAAAAAAATAATATGCCCCGCCAACTTGAAAAAAACAATTAACGTTTTTTTTAATAACTTATGATAAAATCTTTATTTATTGTGCAATTTTAACCGGATTTGTTTTAAAGTGTAGATCTTGATAAACTGTATTTTTGGAGCAAAAAACGCCATATTTGTACAAAATACAAGGCCTACTATGTCAGTTTTTAAGAGTAAATTTTTAAGAATTCATATTAGGGATTTTTTTTAAACAAAATCTAAGCACGGCACTGGATTCACCACCCCTCAAAACGAACCTTTACTAAATTTTATTAAAAAATTTTGAGTAGAAAAATGCAAAATAATAACTACAAAAATTTATTGTCAAGTTATCCATGAAAAAACATTGAAATAAAATTAAACTTATAGTAATAGTACCATGTTACTATTAGTTTAATTTTATTTCAATGTTTTTTTCATGGATAACTTGACAGAATAAATTTTTGTAGTCATTATTTTGCATTTTTTTACTTAAAATTTTTCATTAAAATTTAGTATAGGGTAAATTTTGTAATTTACTTACTTTTTTATTGATGCAGTGTTGCGTATTTAAAGAATAAACAAGCTGCGTGATGTTGCGCTCGAAGCTCCCGCGAAACAGTTACAAAATTTTAAGAGAATTTTCTAAAAAAACATCGCAAAAGGTGTAAAAAGGGAGAAAAAAAAAGTTTGTTGCGTTTGTTAGCTATATTTATGCAAAAATGCATCGGTGAGCAAAATAGGTTTTTTAAAAAATGTAGCTATTAAAATTACCTGTATTTTATTTTATTGGCATCTGCGATAAACGGTTCGTAAGTTATTAAAAGAAAAAGTTACGGCTTTTTTTAAGATGGCGGACCATGGTGGCGCGGGGGTTGTACCGAAAACCAGAATATACAGGGTGTCCCAGAACGCGCCACAAAAAGGGGACGTGCTGATAGCCATGGAGATGCAAAACTTAAAAACAAAAATTTCTAGGTAATAGTGTAATCAAATGAAAGCAAAAAAACGGCAACCAATGCCGAGAGCTCTCGCCTTGGTTAAACGTAGGAGCTTTAAAAATGATTGGAGACGATAGAACATTGTTGTCTTAAAAATTTTAAAAACCTTTTGGCCGACTGTGAAAGACTACTTTCTCTTAATAAGATTTATTAATTCGGAAAAAGTCAGAATAAGACTTAGTAAGGAATATTAATAGCAAGATTTAGGAGTCTTCTGGAAGAGTTCATAAGACTTTTAGTAGAGAAATAGTAGGTACATACAGGGTGTTATGTAATTAATGTTATATATTAAAATGGGTAGTTCCTTAGGGTCCATAAAGAAGCACCTGAAACTTTTTTTTTCTAAATTCCAAAGACTAAAAATAATTTATAATAACCTTTATCCTACCAAAAAGTACGCCACTGATCGACTAGGAACTGCAGATTAACCTAACCTATTACTTTTTAATGCAGTGTTGCCAAATGTAAAATTAAAAATGTATTACCTTATATGAGATGCTCAAAATGATTTCATTATTTAGAATGCAAGCTTAAACTCTGCGAAGCATGCTTTCGCGCACCCGCGTAAAAATGTCTGGACTATTTACAATTAAGTTCCTGAGTTGCTGCCCACATCCCGTCTCTCGTAAATGTGGCCTTATCGGTATACAAAACACTACGAGTCCAATCAGCATCTTCTTGATTTTTCTGTATATACCAATGGCAAAATTCCAACCGCAGTTCATAATCTCCATCCTGAAGAGCTTGAACTTTTTGTAGGTGATATGGGTACAAACTATTTTCGTGAATCGTGCGCCACGTAACAAAGTTGGACATTTGTCCAAGTTGCAACTGCCCATGGGCAGTTAATCGTCTTGTACTAATTCTCGGATTTGCTTCCACTTCGTCCAAAATTTATTCTTCAAGGGCCACAAATTCACGTCCCTGAGCCCGACCCCTATCACCAACAAATGCGCTAAATCTTCCGCAGTCCCTTAAACTTTGCACAGCACGTACAAAAACGCCATAGCATAAAATCTTTCGCACAAATTACTTATTATTATTACTAATAAAATACAACACAGATTATACAACTGAAATACAAATTTTCAAACTTTCAAATATTTATAAAAGAATAAAAACCTGCACAAACTTGAAAAAAAATAAAAACCTGAAACCGCTAGATTTTAGAATTAGACCTTGTGTAAACTAATGATTTTTTAAAAATCGTTTTAACATTGTGATTTAAGAACATACTTATAAAAAATATATTTAAATTTAGACACACCAGATTTAAACTTTAATCATAATTCGTAATGATTTACTTTGTCCAATTTATGTTGTTATGGTTGGTTACCAACCGTTGGTAACACTGTCAAATTGTAGGTTATGTGCGCAAATTGTAATATCTTAACTAAGGGAAGTGATTTTGGGAGTTTGGATTTATTTACACAAATTGAATGTTTAACGATTAACCTGTGAACTTGTCCTAATTTCATCTGAGTAAACAGAAAGAAAAAAACCGATGAAAAAATTAATTTTATGGAGTTTTTAAATAGGTAGGTACTAATTTTTCTTATCATTGCTTAAGTTAATAGCTGGATGAGTAAATAAATACAGAATGGTATTAGAGCTTTAAGGGCATAAAACTTTTGTATTTATTGAGTTTTTATTTATTTTTTGCAAGAAAATTTTTTAGTAACAATTTTTGTACAACTGGCAACGCGCAGCTACTTTGTTGGTTTGTATCTATGTACTGAGAGAACACAAGTGTGTAACCAGTGGCGTATCACAAAAAATATAAAAAACTTCTAATGCATATATTTTCTTTATCTTTGGGAAAATATCTTTTAAAATATTTTTCCATTACACCTTATGTCAAAAGGTATTCAGTATTTTAATATATAACATTAATTACATAACACCCTGTATAACGATAAAAATAAATATTCGAAATTATTAAGATATTTTGTATATGGTTATTGTAAAATAAAACAAAAGATGCTAATAAATATAGTTGTCTCGGCGAATGTTTCAAATTGCGTCATCAAATTCTGAACCAAGCACAGACATTACAATTATTTTTGTTTTCTTTTACGTATATAATCCAAGGAACCGCTAGGACATTGATGACGCAATTTGAAACATTCGCCGCGACGACATTTTTGCTGCGGTGTTAGAAGCCAAGTTTATTGCATAATTACCTACATATATAATAACATAAACTGCTCGTCATAAAAATCGACGCACCTAGTTTTTTGGAAAATATTTGAAATTACTGAATCGATTTTGAAAATCTTTGGAAATTCTGAATAGCTGATTCTTTGACTCTTATTTCTAATTTTGGTAATACGATATTTTGCACATAGTATTATACTACAGGGTGTTAAACGAAGAGATGTATTTTTTCCGAAATTTCAAGTTATTCCCATTCATGAGGCAGTTGAGTTTGATAGTCGTAATACTCCTCCCTAATATAAGTAAGGTAATCCCTCGGAACGTTTTCGAGATTTTGTGAATATCGCGGCTTACTACGATTATATGCCAATTTTTCGAAAATTCTCGTTATTTCCCAGTTTAGTCCAAAAAATGAGCAATTGTAGATTCTTTGACTTACGTCTAATTTTGAGAATATGAAATTGTGCACATAGCATTATACTACAGGGTGTTAAAAAAAGGGATGTTTTTTTCCAATCCCCATTCACAGGGCAGTTGAGCTTGATAGTCATAATACCCCTTTCTAATAACAGTTAGGTTATCCCTCGGGACGTTTTTGAGATTTTGTGGATATCTTGGCTAACTACGATTATATGGCAATTTTTCAAAAATTCACGTTATTCTTCATTTTAGTCCAAAAAATGAGCAAAAAATTGATTCTTTGACTCTTATGTCTAATTTTGGAAATACGATATTGTGCACATAGCATGATACTACAGGGTGTTAAAAAATTTTTTCGAAAATTGCATGCATATAGCCTGCATAAGGTTACGATAATAATTTTGTTTGGTTTGCGTTTTTATTTTGAATTTCACCGAAAAAAATTGCTTTTGTGTGAAACATTTCACTTTTAATGAATCACGCAACGTACATCAACTGGAAGCACGTGACCTACCTTAAAACGCTGTGTTGATACCTTCTGTAGTTTGCTCATTTTTGGGACTTAAGTGAAGAATAACGTAAATTTTCGAAAAATTGCCATATAATCGTAGTTATCCAAGATATCCACCAAATCTCAAAAAAGTCCCGAGGGATTACCTGTTATTAGGAAGGGGTATTATGACTAAGATCAACTGCCCTGTGAATGGTGATTTGGAATATTGGAAAAAACAACTCTTTTTTTAACACCCTGTAGTATAATGCTATGTGCACAATATTGTATTCCCAAAATTAGACGTAAGTCAAATCCACTATTGCTCAACTTTTGGACAACTGGGGAATAACGACAATTTTCGAAAAATTGTCATATAATCGTAGTTAGCCAAGATATCCACAAAATCTCGAAAACGTCCCGAGGGATTACCTAACTGTTATTAGGAAGGGGTATTAGGACTATTAAGCTCAACTGCCCTGTGAATGGGGATTTGTAATTTTAGAAAAAAACATCTCTTTTCTTAACACCCTGTAGTATAATGCTATGTGCACAATATCTTATTCTCAAAATTAGATGGAAGTCAAAGAATCCACTATTGCTCATTTTTTAGACTAACCAGGGAAATAACGACAATTTTCGAAAAATTAACATATAATCGT